GCTGGTAAGCCAAGTGCCCCCCATTTTATATTGGTGCAGCTGGCTGTTTCAGGCTGAAAAGGGACTAGTGGGACTTAGAAGAACAGAAAGAAAAATCCCTTCTGATGGGCTCCTGCATCACTTGCTACAATTCAGAGATTTTTTAAAAAACAGGGAATTTTGTGAAGCACTTAAACTTGGGGAAGTTTAAAATGGCAGCCCTCATCTGACCACACCACCCATTGGCGCCAACTCCTGATGAGGGAACCTCAACCCCTCCAAATGGGATGAGGCTGTGCCCTTGAGGGGCCAGGCCTCGCTGCAATGGCCTTTGCCATGTGCTTGGGCATTTCTGCACCTGCAGTGGGCCACAAGAAGACCCAATGGGGCTTGTTGCAGGTGGGGGTGGCAGTGGCGGAGCATATGCCCACGCTGCCCAGTCCGGGCGCGCTCCCTGGGGGGGAGGGGCAGAGGGCACCCTCCCAGGTACGGGATAGCTGCTTGGGTGTAGCCGGGGGAGGAGTGAGCTGCCCACGGGGGCGGAGCAAGCCGCTGATGACGAAGGGGGAAGGGGGAATGCTGCCGGCAAAGCAACGCAGCTCCCCCCTTCCCCCGATGGCTCGGGGTAGACTTGGGAGTCGCAGACGGGCAACGCACCAAATGTCACCCCCCTCAGCAAAGACACCTGGAGCGACCCATCCCCACCGCGCCCCCCTTCCTCCACTCCTGGGGGGTTGGCCCCAGCGCATATGACTCTACCTAAATCAGGCAGAGGCAAACTCTGGCCCTCCAGATGTTTGGGACTACAATTCCCATAGTCCCTAGCTAACAGGACCATGATGGGAATTGTAGTCCCAAACATCTGGAGGGCCGGAGTTTGCCTATGCCTGACCCAAATCCACCGTACTTGAGCAGCAAGGGGAACAAACTACATGATGAGGCATTAAATAGAGCGAAGAAGAGGTGGAATCTGAGGTGACAGGAACTGAGTTCCTTCCCACCCCTTGGGAAGTGGGGGCTCCGGATGAGGAACAGTGAGAGGGGCAGCAAACTCAGTGACTGCCCCAGGTGGCAAAAGCCCCCGAGCCTGAGGTTCCCCACCCCGCCTTTATCTTGCTTGCTTGATGGCATCTGACTGCTTGAAGTGGTGGCTCGGCTGCTTCAGCTGTTTTCCTGGAAGCCTCATTCCCAGGGCAGTCTGCATCAGGGAGAGGGCAGCGTGTTTCCTTGCACCCATTTGCACTACCAGAGCACAGGCTATGAAATCTTCAGGAAATTACAAGTATGCAATTTAGAAGAGAGGCAAAATAATAGATTCTCTCACCATGCCAAGGACCCCCAGAGATCCCCTTATGCCATTCTATCCCTTTAAAGGGACATGGTCACGCAGATTGCTTGTGTGAGCAATTATCCATGGGAATTAGGGGCTTTTGACCTCTGTCTTGTACTTTAGGCAAGCACACAGTTGCTAACACCCGTCTCTTATCAACAATTTCAATCTGCTAATGTGCTCTTGCTGCAGCACTGCCAAACAGTGTTGACTTTGGCAAATATTTTGTCTGTGTATTGGCTTTATTGAGCTACTTCAGGGCAATAAGTTAGCAAAGCAATCACCTTGATCAGGAATAATTAAAACTTCACATCTTAACAGGGTATCCAGGCAATGAACAAGTTGCTGCAATTTCCAAGTGTTCACCCAGCTGGCAATAAAAACCAGAATAAAAATTTAATTGGTGACTAATGTTGACTTTCCCACATGTATGGAAACCATTTAGAAAATAACTTGGTGACCATAAATGAACTTTATCATTTCAGCAGTAAGGAAATGGAAAATAGATGTGGCACTAGTGGTGTGGCCATATTTAAGGGTGTTATCTGCTCCACAAGAGCGGATGGGACATTCATTGGTTGCCTTCAATGTAACTGAGCTCAACCTGGGAATGTCTTAATTTTGTTCTCCAGTGACTTCACTTAGGTTTGTCGCTCCCCTCTTTGGAGGTGGCTGAAGTAGCTTCCCTGTTGTTTTTAAAAAGAGGAAGGATAATATTGCATCTAATAATGACATTGTCTTTCAGATGATAAGATAGTGTGGTGTCAACTGGATTATGTGTAGCTATTTTGCTACAAAGTGGATTTGAATGGTCAGGTAGGAATGAATTGAGCACAAGATCTTAATTTCAATTGAGGGATTTATACTTTGCTTTTTGAGCAAACCCTCCACAAATCCGTTTTGTAGGTGTTATAGAAATTGGGGGGGGGGGTTATCCCTAAACACTAGGAACAAATAAAGACTTAGGATTTTGATTTGCATGTGGATTAAAAAGCATAAACTTTGGGGCTGTTCCAGACGGGATTCCTGAGCTGCCTTATGCAAACCAGTCTGGCTGGCTGAGGGAAAGGCAGGCCTGTTAGTACAGTATTACCATAGAAAGCCATGGAGGGTCCTCAACAAGGACCCCCCCCCCCAGGTGTGACCAGACACTGGGAATGTTGCCAGGGTAGCTGGGGGGGGGGGAAGGGGCTTCTGGGAAGAAGAAGGAGGGAGGAGGGCAGTTCTCCTGGAGGGGAAAATGGGGGTCCATGCTATGGGCTTGCCCTGGCAGGAGGGGGGAGATGAGCCCTTTGCTCCTCTTCCAGTTCCTGCCACGTGCCTGCTCTGGGCACAGGAAAAGGCAGGGACGCCATCTTGGAAGGGAGTTTCCTTTCCTTTGTTCTTCCTTTGTCTTTGTTTCTTGGATCCCCCTTTTCAGCTCCCTTCTGTTTCCATAAGAGGCTTTTGCTCGCTCTCTCGCTCTCTTTTTCTCCCTCCTCTCGGCTCTGCTTTCCCCCCAGGCCTCTTTTCTGGCCCGCAGCCCTTGGGGCGCCTCTGGACTTGAGAGGGAAGCCTAGGAAAGGGGTTCTCCTTTGGGGAGATGGAGCTTTCTCCTGACTCCTGGGGGGCCTGGAATCCCCCTGAATTTAGCAGCAGTCCAGGCTGAGGAGGTTTGGGGCGACCTGCGGAGGGGCCTGATCCTGCGGCTCCAGCCCTTCAGAAAGTGCTGGGAGGCCGGCAAAATGGGGTGGTCCCTGCCTCGCCCTCCCCTGGGATGCCCACAGTGACCCCTGGACGGAACTCCCTGGCTAGGACCCACCAGGGCCCCTTCAGCCAAGGGCAGCAGTGAGGGGGGGCCTTCAGGAAAGCCCCCCTGGTTCAGGCCGGGCTGGAGACCAGCAGGATGGCAGGGAAGAGGAGGAGAGAGCTGCCCCTCTCCTTCTCCCTCGGGAGACTCCTCTTTTTGGGCAAAGACAAACCAACATCATGGATCCTAGTTCTCCCTACAGAGAAGGAACTTACCATGGTGAGGACCAACGTTTGCCTCCATCTTGGTGAGGGAGAAGGAAGGCCTGCCTGCAATGTTTCGGGCCATGCTGTGAGATGCCTCCAAACCCTATTTCTTCAAGCATGAGGGTCTCCATGTGTCTTCTGTTCTCCATGCGTGGCTGTGACCCCATGCGCTCTGGCTGCTGCTTGACAGAGAGCGGGGCAGGCGCTGGGCTTTTGTAGTATTATTTAAAATTACAAATCTGTTTTGTAAAACCTTTTATAAAGCTTGTAACGATAAGTATATAATAATAACATTAACCTAATATGCTTGAAATCATTTGCATAAACTATGGCTGTAGTTAATTTCCCTCCTTAAAACTGGAGGAAGAACAAGAACGCCCAAGCCTTATTATGTCAAACCTCCTGAGTATCAGACTTGGGGAGAAGAGCAAGGACCAGCTGGATGGAGATTCATTGAGTGGGAAGGGAACCTGAGGCTCATCCCACCCCCTGCAATGCAGGAATATGCAGCCGTCCCTCAGGGAGACCAAACCTGCGTCCTTGGGGTTATAAGCACCATGCTCTAAGCAACGGAGCAGCCACATTTAATTATCACAGAATATTAAAGTATGGGATATAAAGCAACATTAAGTAAATTGACTTTGGTGCAGTATGTGTTTCATAATATGTGCTTCACAATTATTTTGAATAAACGTTTTTCATACTGTATTGGAAGACAGAACATGACAATTGATGACACTTTTCAGCTGTTAATCATCAGGATATGGTTTATTTTATTACTCAGTTTCTATTGTGTGTCCCTTTCAGTTGTGTTCTCTATGTGTATTTGTTTTGTGAAATAACTGATTTCAGATTTGGTGGGGCTGGACAGTGGAAACATCTTCAAGCATATCAAAAACAACTAGCTGCTGGTCCCTCTCTTCCTGGGAGGCAGGTGTTTAGATGTGGTCATATAAGACTACCTTTCAGCCGCTTCTTGACAATAGCATCAGCTCAAGCAATGCCTGTGCAGAACTCTGAAGCTGCCAATCTCCCTAACCTCACCAAAGGCTCAGCAGTAAGGGTGGCTTTGGGCACATACACAAGTACAGTCGTACCTTGGAAGTCGAACGGAATCTGTTCCGGAAGTTCTGATAGGCTGCAGGAAGCTCCTGCAGCCAATCGGAAGTTGCGGAAGCCCCGTAGGACATTCGGCTTCCAAAAATAGTTCAAAAACCGGAACAGTCACTTCCAGGTTTGCGACGTTCGGGAGCCAAAACCTTCGGGAACTAAGCTGTTCAACCTCCAAGGTACGACTACATTAAAAGCATGTGGCTTTCTCATAAGAACTCTGGGTACTGTAGTTTGATTAGGATGCTGGGAATGCTGGCTCTGTTAGGGGTAAAATACTGTTCCCAGGATCACTCAGATGAAGCCATGTGCTTTAGATGTGTGTTAGATGTGCTTTAAATGCATGTTGTAGATGTGGTCTTTATCTCATAGGCAGCATTGTTAAGCATGCATCCTTCTGACTTCATTAAGGAGAAAGCCAATGAGGTCAGAATGATGCACACTTAACAGTGCTGTCTATGAGATACAGCCTTACACACACCTCTTTGCTACTGATTGGATTTGCCCATTTGGTGAGGTCAGAAAAACTGGTAGCTTATGGAGATCAGTGGTTGTTAACAGTTAATTCTAGTCATTTAGGTAAGGTATGCTACATTCCACTCTGCTAGTTCAATACACTGGCAAAGCCATTTACCAGGTAGGACACCAGGGAGAATTAATACTTTTAGCATCTTTGTATGGAAATACATTTTGGGGAAGGTATCTGTGGACATTAGAAAACTGAGTAGTTTTCTTCATATCAAGAGATGGAGAAGTCAGGGAAGTCATTTGGTCTTTACCAAATTATTTTACTTCCACAAAAAGTTCCTGTTATGACAGTTCCCTTCTGTGAATTTTGATGGCATATATTCCAAAATTCTGATTAGAGCTCTGAGACACCCTTAACAAGGAAGGTTTCACTTAGCTGGTATATCAGTTTATCTCCTACCCACACAAGAGCCTGGGGGGCCCTGACATCTGGTCACTAGAAAGAGATTCTGTATCTCCCCCTGCCCCTCAATGCCTTCCTCTTTTTAATTTTGTCTGTCAGGCACTTTCCTCCAGGACACAAGAGCAGGAGAGCCTGGAGACATGGAGCTGTGAGTAACCAGATATTTTGCTTCCTCCTGCTTTGGGGTCTGTGGATTCTCTTAAATCCAGCCACTCAAGGTGAAGAGGGCTTCTGCGTGTTGAGCTGACCAGTGCAGAAGCAGCTCTGAGATCCTGCCCCAGATGACTGTGCGGTGCAAGTGACAGGATCAGCCAGTCTTATGCTGATCATATGGAGGCCGTCATGAAGCTGATTGGTGGGAGAGCCTAGATGGTGCCTAGTTAAGCCATGAATTGGCTGCTCCAAGATGTGGGGACGGCTTCACTGGTCTTTAAAAGGATTCAACAAATTCACAATGGGTCAGGCTATCAAATGGCCACTACTCATGGTGGCTCTGATCTCCCTCCTGGTTCAGAAGTAGTATGCCTCTGAATGTGAATGATCCCAGGGAGAGAGCTTGTGTTTCTTGTGTCCTGGGGACATCTGGTTGTCCACTGTTGTGTGAAACATGCTGCTGGACTAGATTGGGCTCTTACGTTCTTATGAGCGCTTTTCATCTTTTCAGGTCCAGAGTTTGCTCTTCTACATCCCCAGGAGCCTCTGTCCAGCACACCATCCCCTCCCACTGCTAGCAGCATGCAGAATACCAACCCCCTGAGGGTGAGAGCTGAGACTCCCGCCCTCCCTGCAGTGATGGCAGCAGTGGTGCAGGGAGCCACCAGTCCAGGAAGCCAACCACACCTTTCCTCTGGAGGGGAGCGAACTGTGATTCCCAAGAAGGTGCTCCTTGACACACAGCCTAATGGAGTGGAAGATGAAGGCAAGGCAGTTGCTCTGTCCCATGTCATTCTTTGGAGGCAAGAAAGCCAGCGTCGTTTAGAAGAGGCAGATACTGTTTTGGTCTTATCCTGTTTTGTTTTTTGTTATGTTACTTTATTTCTTCTACAGATGATGATAGCATAAATCAGGCTAATTGAAAGCAGGCTTTACATCTTTGATACCATAGCAGTTGGTGTCACATAAAATTAATAAGCGACGCCCAGTTTCAGTGTTGAGTTTCTGTGGTTTCTCCATAACACAATATATCACTTGCAATTTTTGCAGGGGCTCATTTTTTGGGGTCCTGAGGGCAACCCAGGATAATAAGCGATATCCAACCTCACTCTCTACAGTTTTATATGAAGTGCTGAAACTGGAGAGGGAAATCTGACTTCCCCTTCCTGCTGCCATGGATATGTCTAGGACCATTGCGCTTTAGTCAGAGCTGCAATGTCCGTAGGGCCAAACAATTCCTTCCCTCTTCCCTGACATTTCTCCAAACCAGGGAGCACACTACACCAGATCTGGCATAGTTTATTCCTTTCCCATTGTTCCTCCTGGTTAGATTACTGTAATGTGCTCTGCATGGGGCCACACTTGAAGACAGTTTGGATGTTGCCACTAGCGCAAGTGTTTACTGTTCCAACTACTCAGAATCACATAGCACAGTGCTATTTTTCTAGAAAAAGAGGTGCTGGGGCTCACCATGAATGCCTCCTCCCTTGTTCTCTTATATTGGCAATGGTGCCCACCTGAGAGGGGCCAGAACTGAGTTCTGGCAAGTTTGGGCTGAGAAAAAGCCCTGTCTGCACTGCCCTAATGCTAAAAAGAATGACTTTTTTGTTGTTGCCCTGCACTACTGAAAATTCAAAAGCATGTTGGAGAAATTCCCTAGAGAAAAGGACAGGGAAAGGGAAATTCTGGCATCTTTCTGGAAGAAATAGTCTGAAACGTAGAAAAAGTAAGTTAATGGGCATAATGGTTCTCATGGTCATTCTAGTGCATCAGCTTTGCTTTCATAATGGTGGCAAACAATGTTGCAGTTGGATTCATTTGTCACTGATTAACACTGGGACGCGGGTGGTGCTGTGGGTTAAACCACAGAGCCTAGGACTTGCCGATCAGAAGGCCGGCGGTTCGAATCCCTGCGATGGGGTGAGCTCCTGTTGCTCGGTCCCTGCTCCTGCCAACCTAGCAGTTCGAAAGCACATCAAGTGCAAGTAGATAAATAGGTACCACTCCGGCGGGAAGGTAAACGGCGTTTCCGTGCACTGCTCTGGTTCGCCAGAGTCATGCTGGCCACATGACCCGGAAGCTGTACGCCGGCTCCCTCGGCCAATAAAGCGAGATGAGCACCGCAACCCCAGAGTCGGTCACGACTGGACCTAATGGTCAGGGGTCCTTTTAAGTATGAAGGCATAGATAGGTTCATTCCAGGTTACCCTGGAAGCAAATGAATTTTCATAGGTAGGTATTTAGTGTCTGTGAATTGCACAGATTCTGAATTGCTTTGAAAATAAAGTTGACCTATGTTTGTTGAGTACATCTATAGTCAGTGTTGTGTAGAGATTCAGCTTACTTCTCATTAGCAAGTTTTATTGGTCAGAATCTATAACAATCATATTGCTTTAAGAAAAACACTGTCAATGGGATTGTTTTGAAGGGCTGCCAATCACAGGCAATGGTGGTGAGGCCGTGGCGAGCCTCCTGGCTTGCTTTTGGGCTTTTAATAGCATGGATCATATCCAATCCTGCTGTTAAAGGCACAGGATCTTTCCCCACTTCCCACCCCTCCCACCCTTTGGAAGTACTAGTGGAAGTTCCCACATTAATCAAATTTGTTTTAATGCCAAATCACAACATGGAGACATAGTACGGGCACCTCCCTTGATGCTTCTACTTCAACTGCCAACGCAATCACCACCACAAACGCCTGTTCCCATGTTGCAAGTTACCACCCCCCCCCCCGTGTCCTTGTGCTAGTACTTCCTTCTTAGTTCCCAGGCTCTGTTCCCACCTTATGTCCTCGGCAGGAATGGGAAACCTGTGGCTCTCTAGATGTTACTGACCTACCCTCTGTCCCAGCTACCCACCAGGGCACCATAGACTCTTCAGGGATGGACGGGGGTTGGGCAGAGCTTTTGAATGGGAGTTCAGCACTGCTCCAATCAGCCCTGAAGTCACAAATTCCTCTGGTTTGCTGAGAGCACATGAATTTCTGTTGACAGTATCTGTTAATCTGGTTCACATATTACATTTCCCCAGAAGAGTCCACTGTCTGGAAAGCTTGAGACTTCTTGAGTGAAGGGGTGTGTGGGGTGTGCTATTATATGAAATGTAAAGTAAAAGCAGTAATTGAAGCAACTTGGCTTTTTTCAGCAAACTTCTACATTTTGGTTGCATTTTATTCACTTACTTTAAAAGAATAAGTGATCTGTGTTGCTACAGCAGCAAGTCTTCCTCAGATACCAAAACAGAATCCTGTTATTTAAAATTACAATGGATACTTGACATTGGATTCCATTCTCTCTCTCTCGCACATTCATGTCACATCAATGACATGAAAGCCCTGCAAATGGTAATTACTTGGTAGGGAATTCCTCCAATGTTAATAAACTGTTAGGGTTTTGCTGCTGCTGTTTGCAAACAATGTTAGCAATAATTTATTTACTAATTAATGACAGAAGTTCATCACAATTCAAATCCAACTTTTCAAAGACCTAGGATACATTTTAATTGCTACAGAATGGTTCCTCACAGAATACATTATGTGGCTGATTATTGGCAAAACATATAAATAATAATTTGCTAGAGCTTCATCTCCTCCACTATCAGCAGTCAAAATGAATTGAGGGCATGCCTGCACCAGCTGCTTTTGTGTGTCATTTACTCCTGAATGCACTACAATTAACTTCTGCGCTTTACAAGGCATCCTGACAGTGTCCTAATTGGTACACACCACAAAATTTGAAAGTTTAGGCTTCTTTAATTTGGTCTTGCTCTTCATATTATACACCTTATACTTGTTTGTACAAATCTCCTGCTCTCATTCTGGCCACTGCTCTGCTGTTCTCCTAGAGCTGGAACTTTGCTTTCTTTTGTTCTATTCCGATATTGCACAGCCCCGGTCACTTCTCAGTTCCACAAAGATGGAGGGTGCCTTTCCAAGATGGTTCCCAGCTGCAAGTTACCTAACCCAAAGAACAGCCCACAGTCCTAAATACAGTGGACCCTCCGGATACGAACTTAATTCATTCAGGGGGTCCTTCTGTACCCCGAAAAGTCTGCAACATGAGGCACCAGTTCTGCGCACGGCGCGATAGAGCGCTTCTGCACATGCACTCGTGGCGAAACCCGCAACTATACACTTCTGGGTTTGCCGCGTTTGCAACCTGAAAGTTATGTTACCCAAAGGTAACGTAACCCGAGGGTCGATGTAAGTATGTGTGGCTGAAGGGCATCAATTGAAAACCAGAAATAACCCAAAGGCAAAGGGAGTCTGAAGGTGACGTTGGTGCAGGCATGCCCTTAGCATGATCAAATCATGAATACAGGAAAAGAATTTGGCTGTTGAAAAAAGTGGTTCAGTCCTTGATGCTTTTTCTTGGCTTCAGCAAAATTCTTGTTAGCTAGAGAATGTGGAGTTACAACATTTTTCTCTGGGTAGCATTGCCTAGAAATACTCTTTTTTGGGTGTCCACAAGAGGAGTAACAAAGCTGTTCCTCAGCAGAGCTGGCTTGGGGTTCTGCTTCAGTCGCTTCTCAGGGTCGGAGACTTTGGGGTTGTGAAGAACTTCAGACAATGCCTTCACTGCGTTTGCTCCGCCACACAACCAGTGCTGTCATGAGCAGCGTGACAAAAATGGGTACCAATATGAACGGGCACAATATGGTGTTCGGGGGGTCTCTCAAAGCCCTTCCCGAGACAGGGCAGTTTTTGAAGTAGTGCTTGTGAATCGCTATGAAGAATTCATCCACTAGCTGGTTTGGCCAGAAGCAATGCATTCTCCCAGCAATCTGGTAGGTACAATTGGTCAGCTCCCCATACCAGCTGAAAAAGAGAAAAGGACACTTGTTAGTAGGCAGCCGCAGTTAGGGCCCATTTTGCACATTACAGAGCGGCAAAGCAGGAATTGCCACCAAAGTGTACACTCAGCTGTGGGCAGAGCCACACAGTATATATAAGGCACATTCAACACACAGTTAAAGCATGTGGCTCCCCCCACCCAGGAATCACGAGAACTGTTTCACCCTCAAAGAGCTACAATTTTGAGCACCCTTAAAAAACTACAGTTCCCAGGATTCTTTGGTAAAGGCGTGTGCTTTCAATGTATGGTGTTTGTCTGCCCAAAGTTGCAGCTACAGCTTCTTTATTAGTCTACCTGCATGATGCATAATTGCTCTGTGCCACACTACATTTAAAATGCCTTAGGTATGCTCCTAAAATTATGGCAAGTTAGAAAATCAACAAGAGTAAATCAGCAACAAAACCTGCAGAATTCAATATTCTTTCAGGTGTCAACATTCAGAGCTCCAAGCTAAATGACAACCAGAGCAGTTTGTCTTTAGTATTTCTAATTGATTGTAATGACTACATATAACTGAGCATTTTTATTTTTAATTTTTGATCAGAAAGACAAAAGCCCTGTTCAGGTTTTCAATGAATGTTTGGGGGCAGGAGCTCCATTTCTTCACATGCCCATTTCTTCATACGTTCATAGGCATATGAAATTAATGTGTGCATAAATTCCTACTGCATGGTCTGTATGCACATAGTTTCCTATGCAGATATTATGACCCACCTGTGGATTCCAAAGCACATACCAAATCACATATTCACTCTCCATACATTTCTAAAGCACAGCAAGACAAAAACGGATGGTTCAAAGGTCAAGCATTGTTGGGGACTGGCAGAACTTGGACGCATGTGTGTTGGATGCTGGGGGCTGGAAACTGACTTGGGAAGAGGGACCCATCAATTTAGGGGTGCAGTGACTCCCCAGGAAGCAGGAACCAGGGTCAGAAGAATAGTCAGAGCTCTCAGGGATGGAGAGCAGAACAACGGGCTTGGGGGAGTGAAATGGAGAGGCTGATCATGTAAGTGGAGGGATGAGTGGACCCCCACCATCTGCCCCACTGTCTCCTAGAACCAGGAGAAGACTGAAGAGGGAAGAGCAGCAGCAGCTGCTGCCATGTGTGGTGCCCTGTAGCTGAAAAGCAGACTGGGAACAGTTGCCTCAATGCTAGAACCTGAATGCAAGTGTACTCATAGAGTCCTGCAGAGAAGCTACTGTAAGTGATTGCTTTTGACAATAATCAACTACCTGCTGTGTGCATTGCTTTGGCTGGGACGTGTATGGAACAAGTGGGTCATTTTATCTGAAAATAAATGCCAGTGGCACAACTAATATTTTTATACCCAGAAGTGGCTGTTAATTTACAATGCCCCATGACTTCAGAGTGATCCAAAAGCAAGAGGATATGGTTAAATAGGGTTGCCATATATCTGTGTTTTCCCAATCATTTCTTCTTTGGGGACTAACATTTTGGGACCAACATTTTACAGGAAATGTCCAGTTTCTTTCTTTCTTTTTGGCACATGCACACTTGGGAGGGTGATGGCGTTGAACTGCTGTGCCCCGGAAGCACTATGTGGAGCGGTCGCTTTGGCCGGAGGAGAGTGTGCAGAGGAGAGCCATTGGAAGATGAGGTGGGAGCTGGGTCCTGTCTCTGCCCCCAGCCCGCCATCATCAGTGCCGCTGCCAGGCCTGCGTGCCTCTTTCCCTGGCTCAGGCTGGCTGTAGCTGCGGCGGAGAGATGCTCTGAGCGCTGTGGCCACGGCCAGCCCCAGCCAGGGAAAGAGGCGGGCGGGCCTGGGGGGGGTGGCACATACCGCTGCCAGGTATGTTCACATGTTATTCAGGAGACATATCACTTGGATTAATGATGCTGGGCCAGAAGTGTTTCAATGTGACAAAACAAATAAAAACCCTGCTGTTTCAGGGATCAAATGTGTGTTTATGGCCATCCCATAAGCATTGGATGCAGAATGATGCAGTAAACGAGTGGCAACTCTGGGCTGATAATTATTAGTTAGTTAGTTACGTAATTGATAATTATTTAACTTTGGTGATTGATTAATTGTCTTCAAGATTTGGCAACCACAGTTAGCACATCCTAGTATTCTTGCATAAATAAACAAGAGCATTTGAGTCCTCCCATGAACCACGATGTTCTTCATCATTTAAAAGCAAGTTCACAGTATCAAAAGAAGCAAGGGGAAAAGCGAATGTGCCAGCAGGGACTCAATTTACATAGCAATTAAAGCAAATCCAAAATAATCATGAGCAAGAAGCACTGGCAATGGGAGCACTCAGTGAAATATCACACAGTGGGAAGCATCTATCACAGCTCATGTGCAATCTAGGGGAGAGGAGGGAGCCATTACACTTTCACAAAATGCACCCTGGTAAGTCAAGCACCCCCAGGAACAGAGAGAAATTCAGGTCTCATTCAGAGCAAATCTATCAAATCTGCCCTTTCTGAAACAACATGCAAATGAAACACAGCTGTCCTTCAAATTTGCACTTATCCAAATTTTGCTGTGCAGTTTACCAATCAATCACAATAACAGAGAAATATTAAGGGGAACTGCATATAAAAATGTGTTTATTAGGAGAAATATGCATGAAAATGATGAATTTAAACAAATAGTAAATTGCTGCAAAATGTTGAGAACTGAATTTAACTTTGGAAAAGTGCAAAACCAAGACGGCCAAAACTGACAGATCCTTCCACCCCTAGAGACTCCCACCTTTATCGTCTACCTGCTGTTCAGCACAAGACACAATGCCCCCCCCAAAAAAAAACCCCAACCCCAGAAAAAAGAGATACACCCCCAGAGAAAGCTCTACGCCGTAAGTGGTCGGCCTAAACATAGCTCATCATATTATGTAGAATTGCAGAAAAACAAACGTGACACTTCAGTCATTCCCACTCACTATTGTTCTGGAGTTCATAACGTTCTATTTTGTTATGACAAGTGTTCTTTACATGTTAAGCAATGCATTTTTATATTTTCATTCTGTTACATGATTTGCCCTAAAAGATACCGTACATTTCCCAACAACTTTGCTATTTCTATGAACACAAGTTAGAAAGAAACCAAATGGCAGACAGAAGCTTTCTGACACTCTTAAAAGTAGGAAGTGAGGAAGGTGGCTGAGTGTTTCTCCTTGGGGAAATCACTTCAGAATAACACTTGGCAGAGAATAATATTTCGTACAGAACAAGATTTTCATGCAGATAACTGCATTGTGCCACAGAGATATTAAAGAGGAAACAGAGGCAACTCCAGCCTTCCCCACAGTCTCAGAAAATGAAATATTCAATGCAAGCCGCAAATAAAATACTCCGTGGAGGGAGCTTATTATGACACAAGGAAATTGCTTCAGAATCTGTCTGAAGGAATCCTAAAGATGTTTCACATTAGAGGATCCATAAAAGCTGTTATATTATACTCATATTTTTAAAATGTGCCCCTTCTAACAAATGCTACAAATAACCAAGAGCATTTGATCCAACTTCCGTAGGCTAAGAAGCACCTGCCCAACTATTATGAGTGGCCTTCAAGGACGACAACCTTTGGCTTCCTGCCTTCAGCATTTCACACAAGTGAAGTCACAGAGTTCCTGATGGACTCTGAAGACCTAGATGCGGTAATGAGGAAAACCAAGACCACTGATTTGCCTAGAAAATGAAAATTAGAAAATGAAAAGAGAAGTGTTTGGGGTTTTTCTGCCTACACTTCTTGTACAGAGTGGGGTGGCGCCTCACAAATAATATTTGTAATTTAAAATTATCTCTCTTTAGTTAACACTTTTAGTGTGGCTTTTGACTAAACAAGTATAACAATAAAATGGTAATTTTGTTCTTCCAGTTTATTGAGTAACGCAGAGTCGCTGCAGCATTTTGGGATAACTGTGTGTTATCCTTTGGCTCTTATGTTTCCAGAGGAAGTTACTGACAAGGCTGACAAAGTGGAGTTATAATAAATGGACTGTGAAAAGGCATGTTCTGAAGATAAATACTAAATGAAGAATTCATATTTATGTTGCTTTACTAATTTGTTACAGTCTTCGGAACTGTATTTTACTGCACTTCTGACTCACTTCTAGAAAGCATAATCTTGAAATCACTCACCTGGCACTTTTGTCAACTATCCCTGAGGTATCACTCCAGAAGCAGGCAAAAAAATTGGTGCTGGATCTTATAATGGAAACAAGTGTCAACTGCTGTTGCTAAAAACCAAAGTGACAAAACATTCCAGTCTAAACTTTAAAAAATGGGTGTGGAACATCTGTGTATGAGTTCAACTAATAAATTAGTTTGGGTGAGGAGCAATTAAAAAGACATTGCTGTGTATGTCTCCTGTAACACAGTTGGCCCAGTTAGCACTGCCATCTAGACAGCTTTATCTCTTTGGAGGCGCCATGAAACCATTCTCTTTGCATTTGTTTATCACTCTTTCTTTTTTTCCTTATCTAGTAAAGTCTTTTATAATCAGTAGGTGCTCAAAATAGCATTATCTTCAGAGTACTTCCTATAAAAGAAGGATGAAGAATTTGGGTCTGCACCAAGGAAGCACTGCAGCCATTTGGCCTTCATCTGAGCCAGAATCACTTCCTAAGAGTTTGGCTCTGCAAAGGAATTACATATCAATTGCCTACGCAACCAAAATAAGATACTAAGCTAAAACCCAAACTACAAGGCTGTTTTTATTTTCCTCGCCACTTAATGCAAGGACAGAGACAGAAAGAGAAGACATGGTCACTGGGGAAGGAAGGTGTTTTGAGGGTAGGTGCTTCAACAACTGAGCGCTAGATTCTCCAGGCAGATCCATTTTTCGAGCTTTTATCTTCTGCTGCACACATATTTCAAAAAGTTGCTTCTCAGAAGCCATGTGGGTTCTGGCAGGATTATGTGGTGCCAAAGTATAAACAATGATTTCCAAAATGCTCTTTTTACCCAGAGTTGACCTTTTTCTATTTGTCTCACTCATGCTAGCAAAGAGCTCTTCACATTTGCTCTAACTGAGACATGATACTTTGTTGAAAAGAAGATTTATGAGCAGGCACATTTCAGATTGAATGTCATTTTCTGCACGCGCACACACACCTGCTTTCACTCCAAATACCTTCAGAAATCACATGCACAAGCATTTTTTCTGTTTAAGGGAAACAGACAGGCCCCTCCCTGTTGAACTACAGGCACTTGAAGACAGCAGGCACTGGATTCTTGGCAGAAAAAATAGTTTGCAAGCCTTAATTAATTAATTAAAATTTCTCTACTACCCTTCATTCAAAGATCGGTTGGTTTACAATATAAACATACAAAAATACACACCATAGTAACAAACAAAAACAATAACTGCCACACAATTTAAAAGTCCATAGATTAGCCAAAGGCCTGGCAGAAGAGGAATGGCCTAGTGCCTAAAGATATAATCAAGCAAGACTACTAATTTTGGGCTTTATATCAGACTGATTGAGGCATCACAAGTCTTTTAATATCAAAGTTCATATGGAAATGTGGCACAGGAATATAAATCCTGAGTATGTTGGCTCACATACTCCTCCTCTACCTCCCTCCATGTGCCCCTTCCCCTCCCCTTTCCATGTTGGAAATAACCATAGTTTACCAAGACATCTGAATCAGAAAAACTGTAGTTTGCACTGGCCATAGTCTGCCCCTAAACCTGGAACTGAAATCACAATTTTAAGTGGGTTTCAATTCCTAATTTGGAAGCAGTTCAACTGTAACCAATTTATCTGATTCAATTATTAAGAGAATACTAGGGTTATCTCACACCCAAAGAAGGAAAAGGGTGCACAGCTCCAAGGTGGGAGGGGGGCAGAGTTTACAAACCCACAATGTTCAGCTCCATGACATCTGAACTGAGTCTTACTCAAACATTGCCCCTTCCTCCTTCAGGAGATTAGAATGTCATCATCGCGGCTACATTTGGAAATCTGGCTTGATTTAAAATAAAAAAATTGGGTGGCTAATGGGCAGCTCTCCAGATGTCCTTGGACTGCAACTCCCATCATCTTTGACCACTGGGCTATTCTGGCTGGGAGTTATGGGAGTTGGAGTCCAACAACACCTGGCATGCTAAAGGTAAAGGTCAAGGGACCCCTGACCATTAGGTCCAGTCGTGGCTGACTCTGGGGTTGAAGCGCTCATCTCACGTACAGCTTCTGGGTCATGTGGCCAGCATGACTAAGCCACTTCTGGCGAACCAGAGCAGTGCACTGAAACGCCGTTTACCTTCCCGTTGGAGTGGTACCTATTTATCTACTTTCACTTTGACGTGCTTTCAAACTGCTAGGTTGGCAGGAGCAGGGACTGAGCAACGGGAGCTCACTCCATCACGGGGATTTGAACCACCGACCTTCTGATCAGCAAGTCCTAGGCTCTGTGGTTTAACCCACAGCGCCACCCGCGTCCCACCTGGCATGCTACTCCTGCTTTAAAGTTGTTCTGTTTTTAAAGGTCGCACTATGGAACTGGGCTTTTAGGGTTTGTTTGATTTTTTTTTGTTTTGTTTTTTTAAACAACCCTTTCCCTTAAACGAGTGACAGCTGATTTCGGTTCCCATTAGATTATTAAATAGCAGCCCCAAGAAAAATTCCCTGAGTGCAATGACAGCTGAGTGATTTATACTAACATGGAGCTCCTTTTGCTTTACCAGTTTCACATGGAGCCGTCCCATACAGACACCTTAGATGGGCACATGAAAAACTTTTCCCACAGTATAAATTCTACTCTTTCCTCAAAAATGTTTTGGCTTTTTTGTTTCGTTTGTTATCATTCTTTTAACATAAGCCAATTCGGGGGGAACTAGTCCAAGCATTCTGATCAATTTACTTTTGGACCGAAGTTACAAAACAACAGCACCAAAAAGAATCACATTTGGCATGTCCAAGAAAAGCACGTTTAGTTTGCCAGCTCTCAGACCAGCGGGTGAGGCTTTAATTCTAAACAGACTTATTAGGAAGGAAGTCCTCCACATGCTTAAGATTGCGCTGCCAGCCTAAACAGCTGACTGAGGGGCAACTCCAGGGACCTCAGTCAGACTTCCACACGTTCTGGTGTGAGCTTAAAGGGTTTGTTACTTTCACCCTTTCCCAAAGAGAAATTTCCCGTGATCCTATTTCTGTTCCCTCCTTTCTAGCTTCATCTTCCAGTGTGTCTCAATATATTCTTTCATCTTCCCCAAAGATGCTAACTCTTGGTAAAACTCCTGAAATACTCTCAACTTATCTTTCATCAAGTTGTGAATACTACCCATTTTATCTTTTATTAGGGTAATCTTTGCTTTTTTGACTGTACAGCTTTGGCCAGCAATTTGGAATTTTTATTACTATGCTCAAAAAATTCTCTTTTCAAGAATATCCATTCTCTTTGCACTTTTTACATATCTTTATTTTCTACATTTCCTGCTTGAAAAGTTTATTTGCTTCATAATACTTGTACTTCAGAGTGAGAAATCCATCTTTTAAAGTATTTTCTCTGGAAGCTCTCAATTTCTGCTGCTTACTCTATGGCCAGCAGGGCCCACCCCACGGGCACCATTTTAACTAACAGTTTTTAACAGATCAATTGTTGCTGCTGCTGCTCTGGAAATTGTATCACTGAAGTCCCAAAGGGAAAAAATGCATTTGTGCAAATACTTTGCAAGCAGCTTTTGGACTTTCAGAAAGGTCTGTGCCAAAAGTAAAATGTTATTAAGATAAATTTCTATTTATAAACATAGCTAAGCGGTGATATTGCTTATTTTCCCTATGTATCCAACTCAGAAAAACAAATGTTTGGCAGTAACAAATCAAAATGTGGCTTTGCTTTAGAAACAGCACTGTGGTTTCCATATTTAGCATGATGGCATCGGCATAGAATGTGCTTAGCTTCTATATTGGGGGTGATGAATAACAATCTGGAGCAATAAGAACCTGTAGGAGGAATAATTCTGATAAGATGGAAGTACTATTTGTGAGTGGTTCATCTGCCCCAGGAGGTGAGGTTGACTCTAGATGCAGCTGCATTAGCCATAAACTTAAGCATCAGATTCTAGTAGGCAGCCGTGTTGGTCTGCCGTAGTCAAAATAAATTAAAACAATTCTTTAAAAAGACTCGATTCTTTTAAGGGAGTTTATATGTTTTTAAGAAGAGTCTTTTTAACTGTCTTTTTAAAGAATTGTTTTAACTTAAGCATCAGGTTCATGAGGGGCAGTATTTCAATATGAGTAGGAAAATAAGAGTACCTATAAACATTTTTTATATATAAAAAAGCACTGAGTAAAATACTTTTAGACCACCTGGATCCTTGGACTGATTTACATCAATAAGAGAACCAATTTTTGATGTGGTGAAAGAGATGTGTTCATCACCAGTTACAATTTCAAATTCCTGCCAACCAACTCTGTCAGGAGGAACTGATAATGCATCATATTCTTTTGTGATTTCACTCTAGCTCTTCCATCACACTTTTGTGTACGTAGGCTTCTTTTCTGATCATGACATTTTTATAATTGCTGTTGTTTGCATATCTCAGTTTCCCATCAGGGCGGAACTTGAGAAACTCGTGGCTGAACTTGCCCTTGTGCCCAACATAACAACGCAAATAGAAATTGCTCATCATGGCCGCAGATGCCCACCGGCCCGACGGGAAACCAGCATGCCAGACTTTTCCTGAGTTGGGCAATAAGTGAGTAGAGGACGCAGTACAGAACTAGGACAGTGACTTTTACTATTTAAGTCAATAGATTAAAGTCAAGGCCACTGCAAGAAACTGAGCAGCTGCAGAGAAACTTGTAGTGATCCTTCATTGGAAGATCCAGTTTGACTAAATATTCAAGTGTGATACAAGCAACAAATGCATTAAGAGCAGGAAATTACGACTCTATAGCACTGCCTCTAAGTCAAAAACTTGCCTTGGGCAGCAATTCTCTGCTTGCTTATCCGGAAGGAAGTCTCATTGAACTCAATAGGATTTGCTTCAGGAGAAAGGGCAGCCTAATTGTCATCAGTGACCAAACCAGGCCTGCAGGGGGGGGGCTTTCAGTAATGGAAGAGAATGGCTCACATCTCCATTGACGCAACCACTTTCTACTAACTGCATCCATTTAAGTGCCAGATTTCTCAGCCTCCCCAGAACCACCGCACTTACTCTTCCATATCAATCATATTGATCCATTCCAAGCCGTCTAAACAGCTGTGCTATAATAACTACTCAGATAAGCTCCCTTTAGAAACAGCAGTCAGGCTACCACAACAACGAATAGCATAATGAATCAGCTCATTTAAAAGGCTTATGCTGCAAGTGAACATGTACATATGAAGAAGTACATTTGCAAATGCTGTCTCCCGAATAACCAAAAGCCCCCTTGGCTTGCAAACTCAAGACAGTGAATAATTCAACATGGATTGTGCCAGGGCTTTTTAAAAAGAAAAATGGTGCTGGTACTATAATATAAAAATAATATTTTTTAATTTATACCCTGTCCATCAGGCTGGGTTGCCCCAGCCACTCTGGACTGCTTCCAACACATATAAAAACATAATAAAACATCAAACATTAATAGCAACAAGCTGATCCAATATAAAAAGTCAGAATAACTTTAAAATAAACAACTTATAACAAATAAAGCAATATTTAATAATTCATTATAATCTGATAGTAAACAGTAAAATTAAACATCAAATAAGAATTAAACGGTTTACAGGTTACACGTATCAATTACAATAAAGAATTACTAATCTACAATCAATAAAAATAATAGCAAATCACAATGCATAAAATACCACAAAACATACAAAACCATATAAAAGGATCAAACTGAGAAACAAGGACACACAAAGTATAAAATTATTTTTTTCTAAATATCCCTAAACTCCTCTCTTCCCAACTGCTTCTGCTTTTCTCAAAGTCCTGGTCTGGGAAGCTCCCAGGGCTGGAAGGTGGGAAAGCCAATGCCTGATGACCAACAGAAAGTCTCCCCTCATAGTACTCACCACGAAGTTAGAGCAAGTGCCACACTTTTAACCTTTGAGGGGGGAAGGTGCTGGTACTGCAAACCCTTGAGTACCCCCCCAGGTTGGCAGGCGCGCAACTCCCCCCCCCCCCATGCAGCTGCGGAAGGCAGGGAGCATTTCCCACAGCAGCACGGGGGAAGGGTCTATGTGGACCCCAGTTCCGCTACTGATTGATTGATTGTGTGACTGTGGAAATGGATAAAAGCCCCCCCTCCAAACAATGACTATCATCAGTGCAGGTAAGAAAATAATTTAATTCTAATTTTTATCATTTACAATACTGTTTTATTTATTTTATAGTACATACATTTATTATTGCTTTCATTTTATGGATCAATGGTCTCGTTAGATAGTAAAATTCATGTTGAATTGCTGTTTTAGGGGTTGTTTTTAAAAGTCTGGAATGGATTAATCCATTTTCCATTACTTTCTATGGGAAAGCACACCTTGGTTTAAGAACACTTTGGTTTAAGAACGGACTTCCGGAATGGATTAAGTTCGTAAACCGAGGTACCACTGTATGTTTGAATTTAAATTGTAATTTGACATTGATAAAATGTGGTTTATATTGGATTTTAATAACTGGAAATTAATAAAAATATTTATAAAAAAAATAAAGCTCCCCTGATCAGGTTTGCGAGACTCTTGGCAAACATATTCTTGCCACCCACTGTAAGCTGCAGCCCATCTCTTGCACACCTCCCATGGCACCCTGTTTCCTCCACACCCTCCTGCCTCTGTCCCCCTCAGCGGGGAGTCACCAATCACCACCACTCATCTCTTCCTCCTCATTCTGAAGACTGCCTTCCATAGCCTGCTTGGAGCCTTCAAAGGTCTGCAACTGCTCTTCTTGAGTCTTTCCCCCTTGTCTATTGGAGCTGATCTGGATTTTGCTGGGATAGGTTACAGAGACAGGAACCTTTTGGTTCGAGTACTTCCTGCTCCTTCCTCTCAGTTTGCCTTCTCCAGACTGCAATTCCCTTTCTACAATATCATCTCCTTGGAAGGTAGAAAGTGGGTTATCGGCATGCTCATCCTTAGATCTGAAGGGGTTGGGTCAATAATGGAAAAGGACTCCTGAAAGTCGAACTCCTCCTGTCTCTGAGGGGTGGCAGGAATCATTCTGTGCTCTGCTGTACGTTTCACTGCCCCCTTGGTGTTTTCTGAGGTCTGTAACTGCTCCTCTGGCCCAGAATCAGTGTCCGAGGTGAGAAAGTGGAAGTGATTTTGCAGCTCCAAGGACACTGCATGGCTTGTGGCTGTCCTACTTCTGTGCATCACATTCCTCCAGAGGTTAGTCTCTTGCAATGGGCACCCCATCCATCTTGCTGTTCAGTCACAATCAACTCAGCTCTGTCAAGAAGCTCTGAACGTTGTCCTGTAGCTCAAAGTGTGACTAGACGGGTCTCAAGTTGCTGTACCTTCTCTTCCAGGAAGACATCCAGCTGCCACTTGCTACAACTGTACTGTTGCATTTCCCCCAGCAGGGAGACAAATATCCCACAGGTGTTACAGGTCACTGCAGTAGCTTCTTCGCCCTCCATGTCTCTTGGTCCTATGCATACCATGAGACAGTACTCCCCCCCCCCAAAACGCCCTTGCAAACGCCCCTGTTTGCAAGGCATGTTTGTGAGCTCTCGGTTGGGAGCTTCCAGAAGCTGCCATCAAGGGCTGGCATTGCTGGGCACCTGCCTGAGGCCCACACTCCTGAAGGGCTGACTCCTGCGGCCCACTGGTCCTGCTCCATTAAGCTGTTGCTGCCTGTTCACTTGCCCCTCTGGGCACACAGCAAGAATGAGGAGATGGAATAACATGCTCCTGCTGCTTTTTGCTTTTCCTCTGGGTGGCTGTGAAGATTGTGCCCACGTGCGGCTGACCCAAAGGCTTTTTTCTGCCCAAGGCAAAGGACAAGATATTTATTGGTTATTTGGCTGAAAGATAATTCTTGCAGGCCATGATACAAAATGGATATGGGATTATTGATCAGTACATTGGATATTTATGATATAAATCTTTCTTCAACATAAAAAAAAAAATAATCCAGTTTATTTTCTGGTTGCATCCTGATTACCATTTGCAAATACTTTGCAGCTGTTTCTTTGTCACTGCTGATCTTGCTGTTCCACAAACAAACGGCATCTGCTTGAATCCATGAGAGAAAAAGCATGCTGGGTTCAAATAGGTGGAATCAGTCCGTTATTGTGGAACGAATGCTTAGAGGGCTTTCTTTCCCTTGGGGATGAGACTGTCTGATGTTTGGGGGAGGAGAAGGAGAACTGAAGGGACCAAGAAATGTTTGAAGCATCCTGGGGGTGGGGAGAGAAGCAAGAGGCCTTGAACCTCCTTAGGGATGTGCACTTCCACCTTAAGCGCCATAGTCATTTTGTGTTGCCATATCTCTCTGGAAGCCTCCTTGTTGCAGCTGCACAGCAGTACCTCGGTTTATGAACTAATCCGTTCTGGAAGTCCGTTCTTAAACCAAGGTGTGCTTTCCCTAATGAGGCCTCCCACCACCAGTGCCCTTCCACAGTTCGGATTCTGTTCTTAGACCGAGGTAAAGTTTGCAAACTAGGACACCACTTCTGGTTTTGCGGAGTTCGTAAACCGAATAGTTCGTAAACAGGGCTGTTTTTAAACCGAGGTACCACTGTATCTGTATGAGAAAACCCGGCTACACAAAAAACTTCTAAGGGGCAACTTTAAAAAAAAAACGAAGTGAGGAGGAAAATGCAATAGAAACATTTCTCTTCTGCTAGTACTTTTAATTTTCCTGGATTTGGTGATCCTATCTGATACTGTGAGGCAGTTGTTTTCTTTTTAACCAGATGTTGTTATTTTCAGCTGTAAGGGGAGAGTTCTCCACTTCATACGTTCCTGCCAGAAATATATGTTGTTCTTCATTGCTTGCACCGTGTGCCAGGCAAGATCTACTTGCTTTTCTGCCCATCAGTACTGAGAAGAAACAAACATCAACAAGAGCCTCTGCTTAATTACAATAATGGATATATATGTGCTTATGCACCGTCTTCCTAGGCACACAGTGGATATTTTTACTCTTGCCCAACTGAAACAGCTGCACACCATGTTAGAGTATTGTGGGTTGAGAAGCGTGATGCTGTCACCCAAGGCTATTCCAGCGCAGGCCACTTGGACCTATGCGCCACTCCATGTAATCTGGAATCCAATTAAAATAGCTCAATTGTCATCTGCTTCATCTCTAAAGAGAGTGAGGCAGATTTCAGCTTCTCATGGAGAACCAAACCACAAAGGATTAGTCACAGTGGAAAAAGAAGGAAAATTGTCATCGAAAATGTTTGAATGGTGCCTGTCATCTGCCAAAATTAGCACAATCCCAACAAATATCAGCCTAAATATTTCCCTCTGCCAAAGGATGCTATCGCATAAACTTTTGTCTTGGTGCTCTATTTCCTGATCAGAGTAGCAATTTGAAAGTGCTACAGTTTTTGCATATTCACTGTTGGATCTGCAGTAAACCAGTTGTTACCCAAAGAGCTCAGAAGTGCATCTGTCACAAGAGACCAAAAATCAACAACGATTACTTTAGATTAAGGCAAGTCTTAGCTGTAGGCAAAGGATGGGAAACCTGTAGCTGGGCTACCACTATCCCATTCCTTGACTAGTGCCGCGTGGCTGGGGCTGGTGGGAATTCAAGTCCAAAAACATTTAGAGGGCCCCAGGTCCCCCAACCCTGCTGATCTAGGGCTGATGAGCACACTTTGGACAGGGCAAAAAGACAACCATTACGGGCTGTTATAAGAAAAAACTGCTCCTTTTCCCTGTATAGAGTCCTTAAGTGGGTTCCCTGGACCACAAGAGATCCTTTGTGGTGCCAAGGAATATATGAGAATTAAATCATTGCTGGGGCCTGAATAGATTGTAGCTTAGTGACTGAAATGGCATGGACAACGAATTGCTGACCTGAACTTCAGAAGGGAGCCTTAACTAAAAGATCCAGAAACTGGGTTCAGAAGCAGGGGTGGAGCTACCTGGCCCGGCACCTGGAGCAGTGTGGAGGCGGGGCTAGCCGGCCTGCAGGGGCGGGGCTAGCGGCCTGCATGGCGAGCGTCCTTAGCCACCCACCGCCCATGCAGCAAGCCTAAGGGGGGCATCGCTTGCTGCCCTTGCAGCGAGCTTCCCTAGCCTCCTGCCGCCCGCACGGCGAGCATTGGGAGGGGCACTGCTAGTGGCCCGTGCAACAAGCGTTGGGGTGCGCTGCTAGCCGCCTGCGGCAGCATCGTCCCTAGTGGCCCGCCGCCCGCGCAGCGAGTATCCAGGGTGCTGCCTGTGCAGCGAGTGGGTGTATGTGGCACGGTGATGTTACCCACCCTCACACCTGACACCCGGTGCGCACCGCACCCCCCACACCCACCTTCCTCCGCCAGTGTTTCAGTAAGCGTTAAAAACACCCTGATCCTGTCATGCCAGGTAATTCAATGTATGCTGTGGAAGAACATAAGCATTTCACAATTAGTTCAGAAAGTTCAGATTTTTGCAAACTTTCTTCAGAACTTAAGCTGCAATCTCTTCATAGGTTCCTATAACTGCCATCCTCTTACTTGATGATGCATCAGGAAGGCCCAACTAGAGAAGGGCCTGGAAGCTGACTATGTTGCATCTGAGGACAATCTTGCAATGAAATTATTCACAATTTCCCTTTAGATTTGCCCGGGGTCAAGTCTATTGGAGTTGAAGGCATGGTGGAACTTTGCCCACATGTTTTCAAAATGTATTTCTGATGCCTGACTTAAGTGTCTGCCTCTCACTTCTGCTTTTTCCTCAGAAAAAGCTACTGAGGTACAGTAGCTTTTTGTCCTAGAAAAGAGGAAAAGGGCTATCATGAAATGTGGGGGTGGGGTGGGGGGTTCATAGATTTACTCCTTCCTCCGGAGATTCTTAGAAAGAGGCTAAAACCCTGAAACCCTAATTTTGTTCAGATCCTGACCCTTTTTCATCCTGGATCATTCCTATGCTTATCCCATGCCCTGCAACTGCATCTATTTATCAAAGCACCTATTTTCTCGCTTTGCTTCCAGCTGCCACTACGGAATTCACAGCTAAAACTGCAGAGTATCATCCTGTTCTTTATTTACAAAATAATTTCTACAACATCTTTTTAAAAAGGGGGCCAACAAGGCAGCTTACAGCAGCAAAACGTTAAAAATATAAAAGCTAAAAAACATTAAGCAGCAGTCAAAGCAAGTAAAAAAAGTCCATATCCCGCAATATTAACATGCATTAAAAACCTGGCTGATGAAATATGTCATTGGCTGAAATCCAGTACCCTCTTATGTGAAAATAAGCCCCACTTCTGAGTTGGCATTTGTAGAAAGACTTTAAATAATTCGACCCAATGCACATATAAAACAGTCTATCTGACTGCATGTTGGATTGTCTCGTTATTATAAAGTATACTAAACTGAGACATGCACGGCACTGGGAAAACAGAGCTGCAGAACATGCTGCCTGCTCTGTACTTTTACGGCATGTGAATGTAAATTACTGCTGCTTATCACAAAGGGGCATCGCGGTGCTGGGAACCAGGATATGTGAATATCGAAAGCTGCCTTATGCTGACTCCATTTATGCCATCAGGCTCTCCTGGTTATCGCCATGGCGATGCCAGAGGCTGAATCAGGGACTTATGAGCTACTGAATCGGACGCCTACCAGTGAGCTGCTTGGGAGAGCTGAAACAGATCCTGAACTCATGACACTGGCACCACACCAGGGGTGGCGCCTCCCATCACACCACTTGAGGGGAAAGTGCTGTCCTGCCCGCTCTGCCCCCACTACCATGCTGCCCCCACCTCTGCCCGCATCACATCTGGGCTGCTGCCGCCGCCACTGGCGGAGAAGCTGCGCTGGCAGTGGTGCTGATTTATGGCAAGATGTCTCTGAAATCTCACGAGATCTCTCACGCTCCATGAGCGTTCAGGAGATTTCAGTGAGATCCCGCTGCTGCCGGGGCCACTTCTCTGTTTGTGGTGGAGGCAGTGGCAGGGGAGGGGCACCTCCGTGGCACTGTCTCGGGGCCTTTCACTGCCCAAGGCAGCTGCTTCACCCTGCTTCATGGGTGGGCAGCCTTGGCCAACAGTGTCCGCTTCCCAGTTGGCTCCTTTTCACACATTGTGTATTTACTGCAACAAACAGCCGTGTACCCAGAAAGTAATGCCAAGTTCTAAAAGAATGTTGATTACCGGGTGCGAAGGCAGCTGACTGCCAGCGTAGGTTGCCTGAAAGCAGGCGTAGGAAGACCTGTCATTTCACTGTTCCTTGGCAGAATAGTCACATGGTGTTGGGTCTTTCATTATATCCATATTAATATGCACAGTGACTGTTTGCCAGGCACACTGATAATTGTCTAAAAAGAGCCAGAAATAACAGGCGTTGAATGTATTAATCTACACCTCCAAAAGATTTATCATTACTAAAGAGGACACCCCACTTCATGAAAAAGTACAATCTGTGGCATGCAGAGCTCAGCTTTAAATATTTCCCTCTGCCTGGTATAAATGGGGTGCGCGCTCTCTCTCTCAGCAAATTTTGTTGTAAGGAATCTAAGGGCTCTTCCAGACAACTTTTTTTTTTAATGTGCATTCAGGATTATTTGTGCTCATGATGGGACCAAAGTGGTTAGACTGCATACAACTCTGCCTTCAAACCTACTTGCACCTCCTGCACCAGCTTTGGGTTGGACATGCTGCTTCATTTCTGACTGGCGCGTGTCCCATAGCTTCCTGCTGAAACTACAGCCAAGAATGCAGGCCTGGGACGGGCAGGGGGAGAGGCAGGCCATGGGTGTTGGCCGTACAATCAGGTCTGTGCCTGATGGCTGAGACAACAAATTTTCCTAGGGGGCTTCCCCCCCCCATTGTGCACGACATAGCTTGGCACAGCTCAACCAATAAGCTGAAGGAGAAGAAAGAAAAACACACCAATCACATTGTCCCATAGGAAAAATTATTCCCTGCCCTGAAAAGAAACACCCAGACGCAGGTGGAAATAATAACAACTGGAAAAGAAGGCAGCAGCCACCCCTAGTCACTTGGAAAAAACCAAGGGCCAAGGAGAGACAGCTGGCTCTCTTGTAGTAACAGCGCCATCGCTACTCTAGGAATAAGGGAGCTGTTGATAAGACTATGGAGGTGAGTGCCTGTCATTTGCAGCGACATCTGACCATAGATTGTTTGCCTTTAGGGTGGTTCTTTTTCCATGTGCATTTGTTTGTTGTCATGTAAATCATATTTGAGGAAACAAGCCCAGGTCATTTTGTGTGGATCACTCATCCCCGAAAGGAGAGAGGGCGTGTGGAAAGAGGGCGATTGAGGAGATGAAAAACACTGAGCTTGGCTTGGCTTTAGTATTCCTTGTTCACTTCTCTCCTTTTTCAAAACTGGGAGGCACACAGTGGAAGAGCACGCAAAGGAGGAATTCAGGAGTCACCAGCAGTTTTCTTCATGACCTTGTGAATGAAAAGGGTAAACCCTGGAAGGTATAGTTCGTGGAGATGCAGCGATAGGGAATCTGTGAAGCTGTCTTTGCTGGTTATTTGGAAGGCAAAGTCAGAATCAGCAAAGAAAAGAAAAGAAAAATCTTCTGAAATCCCCCAAGGCCTTTTCTGACTATCATTTTCTTTTCATCTTTCTATATCTTTGCTACTAATTTAGGATTCCCTATGGCAGAGGTTTGTTGCTATAACCTGAAAGGAGCAATGGCAAGGAATCTTAAAAGGAAGAAATAAAGTGTATTATCAGGGAGCAGGTGCTTTTGTCCGACATGAAACAATTAGAGCTCCTCGGTGCATTCAAGATTTGGACTTGCTGGTTGCCTAGATTGGTAGGCTAATTTCAAGCAAAGAGCAGAGAAGCAGTAACTGCAGAGAAGCAAGTTCTGTGCAGTCCCCTCCTCACATAAAATACTCTGCCTGCCAGTCTTTCCTGAGTTTTATCCCCCTTTTTAGTAACAGGTGCAGGGGCAATCTTGCCTGGATACCAGAATTACTTTTGAACCTAGTTTAGTGTTTAGTTTAGTTTAGTTTAAATTAATTTGGGTGTGTAAAGACTGAAGACTGGAGTGACTAAAAGAAAAGGATTGATTCTCGCTGGGAAATTAACTGGGAGTGTAAATTAACTGAAGAGGAACTGATTTGGGTGAACTTAGTAGGATGCAAATGAACTAAATTATTTGTTTCAGGGCAAGCAGGTGAAAGGTAGTCTGTATTCTGTTTTGGGGTGATGCACAGAGTGGTTTGGCACACAGTTTTACCCTGTATCTTTTTGGTGGCCAGGGCCAGCCCTCCCACAAGGCAGAATGAAGCAGCCGCCTTGCACAGGGGAATCCCCCAGCCCCTCCCAGCTGCTGGGGTGGCACAGGGCAGGGGGCTTCTGGCAAGACCTTGCAGAGCTTGTGTGAGAGATCTTGCCAGAAGCCACTGCCACACACCTTTCCGGCGGTGAACCAGGATGGGCCGCCCCTGTTGGTGGCTTTAGGCAACTGCCAAGCTGGTGGGGGCTTGAAGCCAGAGCCAGTTTGTGAGGAGGAGCAGTTGCCGCCATGAATGGGGAAAGGCTGTTCTCAGGATCTGGCAGGGCTTGGCGATATTCTCAAGGAAAGGTAGCATAGTGGCTCCTTTAAGTAGTCCTTCTCTTCCTCACCTGGCAGGGCTTCCTGCATCTGTCACTAGAGCCAGGGGATGTCAGTGATGAATTCTTGGCTTGTGAGGGAGAAACCTCTGGCTGCTCCATTTGGTCAGTCTCAGGGCTCTTTAGAACCTCAGCCAGTAGGCAGGGTATAAATTCCTCAAACTAAATAAAGAAATAAATTGCCCTATGTGTTTGTTCTCACCACCTGGAATTCCAAAGTGGGGGCTTTTATGTTGCAATCTCTCAGGCTTCTTTTTTTTACTGTTATTTTTCAGGCCTCAGATGCGTCTCTCTGTCTTGTTCTAGCCAGTCGCTGAGGCGAAGAGCCCTCCATTGTTTTGAGCTGGCACCTTGGTGGCAACATTCCCAGCCAGGACTGTATTAGGTGGGTCCTTTTGCCAATATGTCTCTCAGTTTCTGGTTTTACCTGTTGTTTTCATAATAACCTGGTCTGTGGATGACTAAGAAACCCTTCCTGTCAACCTGGCCTCATTAGCCCTCTCTTGTTCAAACTCCTAATCTTACAACATAACTATACTGGGAGGCTATGTAATGGTTTGTATTGCATCCCATTTAGTTGGTTTTGGTCTTTTATTCTCTGCAAACGCATGCTGCCATTTTTATCTTTTTTCAATTTTCATGGTTTTGCTAAAGAGTTAAAGAGTTAAAATCCAAATATTTGTTTAAGTAAAATATTTCATTTCGTTTCATGTTCAGCTCATGTAAGGATTTTCAATTTTTTGGCTTGCATCCACTAGATCAGATGAAATCATTGTAATAATATGTTCTAAAAATAAGTCTCTGTATTTTTCTCTGTCAAATGTTGGACGCTGTGCTAGATTATGAAGCAGAATGAGAAGAAAAACAGGGGCAGGGGATGTACCAAATCATCATTTGCTATCAGGTTGCTCAAATTATCTGTCATTACCTTGAAAGTAGCCTAGTTGGTCAACTATGAAGATTGCATATGACCAGTTGGAACAAGGGGGGATGCACAGCCTTTTGTCTAGCGAGCAGAAAACAGTTCTTTACACCAATGCAGGAGGCTATGAGATACACTCCAGAATCCCAGCATGCCATTTCTTAGATGTTTACATAGCTCTTTTCTTCCCACTGGACAAAACAATTTCAACTCACCCCAAAGTCATATCCCAGTCACACCACAGAGTCTTCCTGAGAGTTTCCATGTCAGATTGAAACTTGCTGAGACAATATTCCTGGATGTACTGCCCATAGGTGACTTCATGGCATGCCCTGACCACCATAAAGTGATGGGCTGAAATGGAAAGGCGGAAAGGGGAGGGAGAGACAAAAAGGGGGGAGAAAGGTAAAGGCCAGGACTGAGTTGATTGATTCATTCTAACACATTTCAAAGTTACCAGTGCAAGAGAGCGGCTAGAGTTCCTTCCCTCAGAAACATCTCCATGTGTCTCTCCTACTCCTGGGATAAACAACCATTAGCAGGAAAAGAACACTATTGGGCAGTGATTCCTCTGCATCCCAATTTGAGGTAGATCTAATAAGTTGGACTGTCAGTTGAATAAGCAATTGGTGGGATAATGGCCACCTTCCAGATGATCCTCTGCTGAGGAGGTTTTTACCTCAGGAAGTAAAGAAGGGGGAATTAAGAAAAAACTACTATACTGCTCCCTCCCCCAATGAAAGGTATTTACTGTGGCCTGCTGGTTCATCCAAAGGCCTGTCATTCAAAATTAGAAAGAAAAAAAAACCCTATAAGCTAGTGTTGTAAGATTCTGCTGACTCTTACTAAACTTTTTGCTTAGGAAATATCTGTTGAAAAGGTGCCTACATATTTACAAATTTGTTTGTCCTGACCAAGCATTTCGATCACCTCCCATGACAATATGAGAATTCCCTGATAGAAAATCAGTTGCCCCCCAAACAGTCTCTGGGAATGCCCACACATCTTGAGAAGATGTAAAGAAGTCTCTGATGAGATTAGAGATGGGAAGGCCTGGAAAAAACCCAGAGAAAAAACAAACTAGTCCCCCCCCCATTTCCCCCCAAAGCCATTTTCCCCCATTTGGAGAAAAAACAGAAAAAACCTGGGTTTCCCCCCAATTTTTCCGGGTTTTTTCAGGCTTTCCCATCTGTAGATAGGATATAAACATTAATACAAATAAAGAAATGCCATTACTGAGATCAACCTGAAGTGTCAAGACACCATCGTGGGACTGTGCTTCCATAATTTTACAATCACCCTCCAATTCCATGGAATGGAGAACATCGATGTTTTTCCAAAAAAATATATTCTAGAAAACAGGTGTAAATAGTTGACAAACTATTTTATTGATTAGATAATAAATCAATCAATAAATCAATAAAAGATAAACCTCTGCTTGCTTATACAGAGATATTCCATGACAGTATAATTCAGATTTAGAATTGTTTTTCCCTCTGTTTAGCTATTTTGTCAACAATTACAGGAATAAAATGGGAGCTAGAAAGCCTGTATCAAACTTCTGTGTGGAACAGAAATTGCCTTACTAGACTCAGGATAATGATTGATGCCATTAAAGACAGCCCTTTCCTATTGTTCACTGCTTGCCTTAAAAAAAATAATCAGTTGTGCAAAGGCTAAGACATGGATAACATCACATCTCATTTGGTCCACAGAAAGCAAAGAGACTCAATATAGTTCTTGGCTATCTCAATCATTTCCGTTGGGGGATTTGAGCCTGACATTCATGACAAAGTTCCGCATGTACAGGCAATGCTATTTGCTAGGCATTAACAGCCCAGAATGTTGGCAGCCCTGCGCTTCCTCCAGGGCCCTCCTGGATATAAAAAGAGCCTGTGAAGTCCATGAAGACACACGATAGTCCTTTGACCAAAATAGACCAACACTCTCTCTATGATGGTAAAATACACTAACTAACAGCTTTTACAAATGCAACCCATATATAATCCACTCCTCCATCAAGGTCTGCAAATTTACAGCAATAGTACATATTTCTTTCCAAATCCAGTCAGAATTCCCAAACTACTGTATTGATTATAACTAAGGTAAAGCAACAGAACTCGGGGCATCCAACAGTTTGAATTTGAATTTAAATATGCTTTGTTGTTGTTTAGTTGTTTAGTCGTGTCCGACTCTTCGTGACCCCATGGACCAGAGCACATCAGGCACTTCTGTCCTCCACTGCCTCCCGCAGTTTGGTCAAACTCATGTTCGTAGCTTCGAGAACACTATCCAACCATCTCATCCTCTGTCGTTCCCTTCTCCTCTTTCCCAACATCAGGGTCTTTTCCAGGGAGTCTTCTCTTCTCATGAGGTGGCCAAAGTATTGGAGCCTCAGCTTCACAATCTGTCCTTCCAGTGAGCACTCAGGGCTGATTTCCTTCAGAATGGATAAATCCTGCTGAGGCCAGGCCCAGCTAATATTTTCCCCCAGGGATCAAAATAAGAAGTGCTGCACTCTCCATAAGACTAATTTTTTCAATAGCTCAGAGATTTTCCACTATCACGCTTAATGTAATTTACATGTCTGGTACTTGAGTTCATTAAGAAATATTTTAAGTTGCTTATTAGTAGCGGCACATGAGAAAATTGATATTTGCCAGTTCTGATACACACTGAGCTGATCTACACTAACTGGACTAATGTGTAGATCAAAATGAAGCTATCCACCACTTATCCTGGCTTTTACATTTGTTTTAAAAATTATATGCCTTATAAATGTTCATAAATACATACATCCTTACATACATAATGTGCTACAGTTTTTGATTAAAAATGTACCAAAATGCATTCCTATTTTGAGAAATAATGTGCTCAGAAACATCAATTTAATGTGGATTTTTATAAAATACTGTCAAAATAAAGCAAACGTCTGAGTAAACTAATCACTGTGGCATCCTGTTCTTCTTTAAAAAGGTAAAGGTCCAGTTGCAGATGACTCTGGGGTTGCAGCGCTCATCTCGCTTTACTGGCCGAGGGAGCCGGCGTACAGCTTCCGGGTCATGTGGCCAGCATGTCTAAGCTGCTTCTGGTGAACCAGAGCAGCGCACAGAAACGCCGTTTTCCTTCCTGCCGGAGCGGTACCTATTTATCTACTTGCACTTTGGGCATGCTTTCGAACTGCTAGGTTGGCAGGAGCAGGGACCGAGCAACGGGAGCTTACCCCGTCGCGGGGATTTGAACCGCCGACCTTCTGATCGGCAAGCCCTAGGCTCTGTGGTTTAGACCACAGCGCCACCTGCGTCCCTTTGTTCTTCTTTGGGCAGTCCTAAAAAAGAAGCCAGCAGCTAATCTTCTAAGACTTCAACCTGACTAGTAGCAGTGGGTGGAAGGGTAGACACATAAGTATCACAGATCCATCCTTACTTACCAGAATCATACAACTAAATAGTTGGTAAGGGACCCCGAGGGTCATGTAATCCAACCTCCTGCAATGCAGACATCTCCACTAAATACTGCAGTACTACAGCCAGATTCTCAGAGAGTCACCATTGTCATTCTTGTGACAATGAACCTTGTGACGGGCACACCCCAAGTGCAGCTCAGGGGACAGAAATGACCGGATGCTGCTCTTCTGTTCACATAAGGAAGGCATCACTTCCTTCAAATTACTCTCTCCCCCTCAGCTCCAGGCACCCTGCTCCACACCATTCCCAAGAGTCTTCTAGCCACCAATGGCAGACCTTTTGTGGGGGGCGGGGAGGGGTTCACAGAGAAAGAAGAATGTGGGGCAGTCCCATTCTGCGACTGTGAAGTCCATTTCATTCGCAGAAAAGAGTTAAAATCCAAATATTTGGTTAAGTAAAATATTTCATTACACGTTCAGCTCATGTAAGGATTAAAAACAACAACACCCATGTTTTTGGATCCTACCCCCACGTTGGAGTCTGGCCCTGCTTCCAAGGTGTCTGGGACTCCACGAGCAAAGCAAGGTGCTAAGGAAATGTTCAGCAAAAAATGTTTGTTTTTAGAAACTGTAATTATTATTATTATTCCCCGTCCATCTGGCTGGATTTCCCCAGCCACTCTGTATAAACATGGGTCCAACACAGTAACAAACCAAATCAGGATAACATATCATTTTATACACTTCAGCTCCTTATAACTTCCCAGCGTTGCCAACCCCCCCTTCCCCCAGTACAAAGGCAATGCATTCCCTGAATTAAAAGCATTCACAGCTTCAGGCCGATGACATATTAGCCCTCAGGGGCTTCTCCCTCAGCAATCATAGGATTGCATGAAATGCTTGTGATGAAATCTAAAACCGAGAGCTGCTCCCCAGTTTTTCTACTTTATTGCATGTCCTAGAGGTGATTAATGATTCTCCAAAGCCTTGATGGAGTTTGACCGATCGTCTATCAATGTCAAGAGCTTCCCAGCTCTCAGCTGGGAGTGAGCCCAAAGCTAACAGCTGGGCAGGTGGCTGGGGCTGCAGCTGCTGTCCATTTCTGTGGAGAGGCAGGCAATGACTAGGCCTCTCAGGGACCCACTGATTAGCTTTTCTCCTTGGTCTTTTCTGCCTACCAAAATGTAAAACATTTTGATCAAACTGTTCATCACCATCTCAAGTAGCATTCAATATGCTCCAGTGGATTTGCTTGGATTGCACTCATGGCTTTATGATATTAGAGAACTATGAAAATACTTTTTTAACCCTTTCCATTTTGAACTGGCTTGCATAAACATTCCAGTATTTGGAAGGGTATTGCGTATGCCTGTGGGTATCAGAAGTGAATACCATGGGTCTCTATGTGGCCCACAGGACAGCATACAGGAATAAAAAAACCTGTAAAACAAAAAAGACAACACAACCAAGTAATGTTTAGCTCTTCACCTGAAGGCATGGTCCCACAAAGTACATGCTTATTTCCGTGAAGGCAACTAAACCATGCCTGCATTTTCCCCTACTGCACCCTCTGTACTTAAACACAAAACCTAAGCAGCTAAACCCTTTGCTGAACACCTTGTTTCCTTTGCAGAAGAGACACCCTGTTGCAGCAGAATGTTCAAAACATTCAATTGCCGCAAGACTCCCTCCTCCTGCAGTGCGCACATTTCCCATGGTGAGCTGTAGTTTTCCTTTGTTCTGGGACTGAGCAGAATTCCATGTCTGTAGGGATTCCGGTTTCTTGGCAAGGAATCTCAAGGCCCATTTCCATGGAGATGAAAGAAAAGTGTCGGAAGAAAGTCTATCAGTGACAAATGGTGAAGTAGAGGAGGAGGAGAGCCCCTTTTTCTCTGTCTTGCTAGTTTCTTCCTAAACTGGTTCCCTGGCCAACTGACTCATGCCTTAGTCCAAGCTGCGGGTCTAAGGTCCGCTTGCTAGCCTTTGGCTAGATCAGCTTCGCTCAAGCCAGTGTCCTGAATGTCCATTTTCTGTCCATGATCCCAGGCTCTTCTACATGGCAGGTAGGTCCCACTCACAGACATTTGGATTTCTCCCATTTTTTGGCCTGTCTCTAGGGTACGCCAGTTGTTGGGTCCTGAGAATGAGCATGCAAAGGGCACAGAAATCTACTGCTTCTCTGCCTCCACCTGCAGGAAGGGTGAGACAGCACTGGATGGCCAGCAGCCATGCAACAACGCATTGGATCCATCAATCTTTACCTGTGGAGGTTGATGCCACCCATACCCAGCCCTACACAGTTGCCTTCAAGCCCCGCCCTTGGGCTTTTTGAAGACATCTGGTTAGCAACTATGGGAAATTGGATGCTTGATCAGATGGTAATCCAAGATGGGCTTTTCTTACATTCTCAGCTATCTGCTGCTCATCTACCTCATGGGCCTCTTCAGCTACCCCTGAACATGGGCGTCTGGGTCAGCTTTGACTTTGTCTAGCCTGTATAGTAAATGTGCTGGTGGTTTTGCAGCAAATAGTTTGATATCAGCTGGGATTTTATCTACTACTTCTGCCCCTTGGTGCTGATGTAGTTATGCATGTTATCATTATTATTTCTGTTGTCTGGTCTAAGTCTTTGACCATAAGAAAGACAGACTGACTTTTTCTAATCACTGAGGAAGCAAAGGCCTCATCTCCTCACAAAGCCTCCAAATTTATTCACAGCTGCTCTAAGTTTCTCTGAAATCCCCAGTACAACTTCTCTGGCTATGCACACCTCATATCTTTAAAGCACCTTCTTGCCTTCAGAGTATTCTGAACACTGAGCTTTACACAACACCGAGTTACAATTCTTAGCAACCTTTAACAAACTGAATTCTTTGAGGGGGTGTGTGTGCTTTGGATGTGCTTTACAGGGACAGTGTGTGCACAGTCTCCTGGAAGACTGCTCTAATTTACTTCAGAACTACTGTTATTTGCTCTACCTTGGCACTGTGACACCAAGAAACACCTTCCACTCCTGATAACAGAGGGCAAAGTTCCCTATGGAGCGTATTAAAAATCCTTAACTACTATTGTTTGTTTGTTTCCTGCCACTAAAGAAGTGGGGAAATTGAAAGTGAAGTACAATGGTACCTTGGTTGTCAAACTTAATCCGTTCCGGAAGTCCGGCTGACTCCCGGAACTGTTTGAAAATCAAGGTTTTCGATTGGCTGCAGGAAACTCCTGCAGCCGCGTTGGACGTTCAGCTTCCAAAGAACATTCAAAAACCGGTGTTTGGGAGCCAAAAAGTACAAGTACCAAAGCACTCAAGAACCAAGGTACGACTGTAACTATAATTAGCTGTCAGAATGGAATCTACTTGGAGATAATGCAGTCACAGCTGTGGAAGTCCAAGACTGATTTAAGGGGGAAACATTAAGGTGGACTGAATGGCTAATAGTATCTAGGACATTAAAAGCCTCCAGTATGACAAAGGTACTTTTGGATTAATCAATGATCGATGTTTGATGATGAAGAAGAAAATCAGTCAAAAGATAAGGAAAAATAAGCCAGAGGAATATGAGATGCAAAATGGAAATGGGTATATGCAGAGGCTTCAGACGAAATTGAGGAAAAGCTGGCAGGACTGGATCAAGAAATAATTAAATTGAAAGACGCAGGTGGTCATGTAGAAATGGAATGACTTCCATACAAGGATTTGGAGGTAAAGTAGAAGATAAAATCAAAAATGCTGATTTGGAGAATTATCTGGATATAGCACTGATGGAGTGGAGAGGGGGGAAAGCTTTGAGACTTCAGTCCTGGTTTTCCTGTAGTTCTAGCAGAGAGGGAGTACTCTGCCTACAACCTGGATCAAATTCAGGGAATCGTGCTATTAAAGTTATGGTATGAAAATGGAATGTGCTAGAGGAGGAGATTGGGATGCTATCGTAAACACAACAGGAAATGGAACTAAACATATGGAACTGGATATGAACTAGCTATAATGAGAAACAAAACTGGAATATTGACCCAATATGTGTGTGTGCAGACTTTAATACGGACATGGATGAAAGAATTTATTATTATTCAATATGGAGTAATGGTGGTGGGAATCAATTTTATTCTGTGAACTGCACTGAGACCCCCAGGTATAGGGCGGTATATAAATTCAATAACTAATAACAATAACAACAACAACAACAATAATAGAGGTAAAATTAAAAGAAAGAGTATGGTTAACATTTATTAATAATAATAACAATTAAGGAACCTATCTTGAACTTTTTGTAGGAAAAAAAATGAATGATTCTGAGACACCTTGACTTACACAAAATATTGTTTTACAGAAAGTGGAGAAGATGGATGTTCACATGGACTGAAGGTTTTAAATAATCAAATTTTCTTCCTTCCTATTTTTTCTTTATTTCTATTGTCCCTTTCTTTCAATTCTCTGTTTCTTTTTTCTTTTTTTGTAGTTGTAATTTTACTGTATTATGATAAAATTGTAATAAAAAATCTTATACAAAAGAAACATTTTCCCCAAATCATAATATGATCAATTTGCTATTTCCTAGACAATAAAAATAACTTTAAAACCAAAGAGGGTCTGACTTGTAGCGTCTTCTGTTTCCTAGTGAAGAGTTACAAGCTAAACAGTAGTAAATAGTTAATTATGTTGTACAGATAAGTCCATTATATATAGCACAGCCCAATGCATTATTCACTAGTCTTTCCGCAAAGGACAGAAAGAAGCAAGAAGCAAAGCAGTGGACCTGACCTCAAAAATAATCCCACAATCTGTATGACAATTTCATTTTTCAGCATTGTAACTCAAGCATTGCCTCAAGAAGCCTGCAAGTGTACAAAAATATTTGATATTGTTTTCAATACTTTCCTCAAATTTTAAAAGGAAAAGGAATGGGCTGACAGGGAAACCCCCGGAGTAACAAGAGCCTTGGAAGTTTTTAACGTAAAAAACAAACCAAATTGGAACCAATGTATTTTTAAAAACAAAAACAACACATATTGATGATTTTCATTGTTAGTTTTCCACATTCACCAAAAACATCGACTTCCATGGCACTTTCTATCCATTTCTGCTGCATAATTTAATCACTCCATAACCTCTCTTTCTCATTTTATCTCAACATAATTTATACTGCTCATTTTACTCTAATTCTGCTAATGTTTTAATTTGTTTACAATGATTCTTCACATACCATATTTACTTGAATGTAAATGCGCTATCAATCTAATGCACACCCTAATTATCATGACGTAATTTGGCCCAAAGAGGTGTGCATTACATTTGAGTAAATATGGTATTCTACAAACATTTTCCAGTCTTCTTGATCTCTTATTCTGATGGTTAGGCTTGCTAGCTCTGCATATGGTAAAACATACCTTCTGTTTCTTGACATTAACAGCAGTTACATGGTTCTGATTTGTACATCTTTGCTAGCTTACTTGGTGTCAGGTACCACCTATATATCATTTTCATAATTCTCTTTCAGCACACAACAAGCTGTAAATTTTAAATCAGTTTTCCACAGTTTCTCCCACAAACTGAATTCTGTATTATGTCCTGCTTGGAACCAGCGTAAAGCAACTGAATAAAACCATAAAAGCAACGTAAAGCATCTTAGCTTAACCAAAGAGAATCACGTGAAGATGTCCTTCTAAAGTGACACCTGCAGCCATCTAAAGATGTCCTCCCCTAAAGCGGTCCTCAGTGGTAAGACCACTGAGCCCAAAGGCTGCAATTCATGCAGTTGTACCACTGCCTGGTATATCAAGCCTGAGAATCTGTGTGCTCTAGATCTGCTCTGAAACGGTGAATTTACTTTTTAATATGTGTCAGTGCCAGATGGTTCTACAGTCAAAATGTGATGGGGAAATGAGTGTTGTTTATTTATAACAAGCCCCTTGATCATTTGTTGTTATCGTTCAATTCACATTGCATCTTGTTATTATGTTTAGAAGCCATTTTATTTTCTGAAGTGTCTATTTCAAAGAGGCTGTCACAATATGCCCATACACAGAATCACTCTATGATTCGATGAGTCTCTCCTGCATTCCAGGCGACTAGATGAGCCCAACTCTGCTCAGATTCTATAGGTTTAAGTGCCCCGGCCCGAGACCCACCTCTGACCTCCACACTAGCCGCTTTCACAGATTCACATTCGATTTATACTTCATAGTACTACCAAGACACTTCACTTCTATTGAAATGGTAATTCACAAAGCAACATACATAGTGCTACTTTGGCATTAGTGTGAAATGAAAACCAGTGATTTTTACACTTTTTCTTAGCCAAAAGGCTGCGAAGCTATTGAAAATCAGTGATTGACTGATTGATTTAAAGACTCACCATTTCAATGAGACATCTGAGCAAATGTCATTTCAGATTTAATTCCAGTGGGGGGTGATACGTGAAAACCTAACCCACAGCTCACCTTGTACAACCAAATTGGGGTTTTGTTTTTGTTTTGAGGATCACCATTGTTGAGAAGCCTGCTCATGAAGACAGGTGCTACCAAATGGCAACGGGTGAATGATTGCTTCACTTGCCAATTCTAAGTGCACTTCACTAACTGATATCCAAAACTTTGGTAATATTAGTTACTGAAATTGCACTTTTAAGGTTGTGCCACAACAGAGATCAAGGATTCTTTTCTGCAACTCCTTGTCTCAATTCCTGGCAGCTCCGTGTCCCCAGTGGATGCTTGTCTTCACTAGATACCCTCCCACAAATTTGTTTTTTAGCTTGTGTTCTGGTGAGCTACAAGGGAAGAATGTTCTGCTGAGTTCTAAGTGGTGGGGTAGATTTTAACGCGTGGAGGAGGGAATTATTGTTGCTTCTCTTCCGAAGAACAGAAGACCGTTCCTCCTACCCACTACAAAGCATACGTCTGCATTATAGTCCCAGGATACTACCAGTTGTAGAAGAAGTCTAGAAAGCCAGAGAAACAGACCAGAAAGTGAACAGAGCGTCCTTACTCCATAGAGAGCTATAGGAAGGTGGGGCATACAGTTGGCCAGAAAAGTCTTTCTTACTGAAAAATACTGAAAATTGCCTTTCTCCTGCCTCTTTGCAGCCAGCATTCATGGAAATTGTTGAAATGAGTGTCTCATCAAAACAATGTGTTCTAGCCCAGACACTGCATTTTGTGATCCTTTGGTCTGGTCAACCTTAGCTAGAGTCCAGCAGGGCAGCAACAGCTTTGCTACAACCCACCTGAGATGGCCTTGCTTGCTATCCATTTGTGGCTTTTGACCCACAGGCTGAAGACCTATGCATGACAGCAGTGATCCAGCTGTTTTACTTTGCTTCATTTCCAATCCAAGGAAAGAGTTTCAACTTCATATTCACCAAACATAATTTGCATTACTGTCACCAATAAGGCAACACATAAACTTATAGCGCTGCAAGGGAGCAGAAAGGTCACTTACTTTTACCCTCCACTGCAAGGCAGGGTCATCTATTCCACTGGTATAACATTATTGCAATAGCAAATTGTGATAGCAAAGGTGACCACGCTTGACTGCAGTGCCAACAGGCAAACACAGTGGTGCAAATCCTTGCCTCACAGCATAGCCTTCTCAGGACACCTGAGCAATACACTGAAGATAACCTGTGCAGTAAACATGCTCAGTGACACTGTGGGACAAAGCAAGTACAAAACAAGCCATGAGCATGTAAGAAGATGGCTATTAACCTACTAGCCCTACTAGGCAACACCCACCTTCCTTTTCTGTACATCCCTTATAATTTAAGCGGCCATTTCTGTTAAGACCTTTGCTTGCTTTTGATACAATTTGTCATGGCTAAATATTTGTCCATTTTAAGCAACTCCCTGGAAAGCTGAAAACTTGAGCAGTGACACATCCGCACAAAGTTTAAGCTGAGGAATAAAAATGTACAGGAGAAATTATATGATGTCATTTTGATGTCAGGTGATTGACAGGTGGGCAGACAGGGTGAGGGGAGATAAGGATCTAGCTGCCAGCCAGATGCAGATCCCCCACCCCAGACTAACGATGCGTGTAAACATACTAGCAATCTTTCTGAATGCTTAGCTTCTTGACAGCACAAGGGCACCTTCCCTTCACTGCTGATTTCTAAATGCTGGAAGAGAGGATCTGTAATACAATCAAATCCCGGAAAGGAAAAAGATGGACATAAAACAACAACAAAGGTCTGCAGGCAAATGGTTTGAGCAGAGGAAGAGGGATTTACATGGGTGGCACAAACAAGTTTTATAATTTATAGAACATGGTCTGTTACATGCAGCCAATTCCAGGAAGCAAGTGGCTCAAGGATGCAAAGCAGCCACCACACTCAGTGTAGGCAAAAGCCGTGTCCCTTATTCCCAGGTGCACTTTAGGGAAGGGAATGCATTCTAGACATGTTCAGATTCTTGTACTGGCATTGAAGGGTTGCATTCATCTGAAAAATTTAAAGTCCTGGGGGAAAACACATATTATATGGGTACACATCAAAGATTGGCTGTCAGGTCTGCAGCTGGTGGCCAAGCTGGATTTGTTGTGTGTAATGTGTGAAAGGGTCTGCAGTGTTGGTGATCTGTTCAAATCCCTCCCTGTGGCTGCCTCAAGCTTGTTTCCAACATCCTCTTCCTGACTACTCAAGGTTACTCTTCTAGCCAGCTTGCCTTGGGATGCAGCCTGCCTCAACTCTGCTGGCTTGAGGAGATTTACTGACTTCAGGGGCTAACAGAAGTCTCACATCTGTTCACTGTGGGGAAATAAAGTAGAAGCTGGGTGCAAATTCAATAGAAGAGAGTAAATTTTGTACAATCAAACCACTTAAAGGGGACAAAAGAAGCAACGCGCGCACATCACAGCCAAAGGGTTTGAGGAAGTCAAATGTCTCAAAGCCACCCCACCCTCCCTCGCCCACTCCCGGCTCGCTTGGTGGGAAATCTCCTGGACCGCATTACAGGCACTGTCATTTGCCCTCAGGGTATTGCAGGTCCTGTTAATTGTTAGATGGAGACCGACTGACATTATGGCAGGAAGTCTTCCCAGGTCTCCCCATATTACTACTTTGTCCCGCGCCTCCATTACGCCAAGTCCTTGTCTCCAAACGCATCGGCACAAAGCAGCACTCACCCAGGAGGAGCCACACGAAGCGCTTCAGCCGGACGACCATCCCCAAAGCCATGGCTGGCCGAGAGCGAGGGAGCCTCGCCGGCGCCCGCGGACCTCACTGCAACGGGGCGACGCGATCCATGCCGAGGAGCCCTGCCAGAAGGTCTCTCGCGCGCCCGGAGCCGCGTCTGGCCAGAGCCCCTTCCCCTTCTCCCGAGGCAGAGCTCTCTCTTCGGAACGCGATCGGCTGCTGAAGGGGCCACGTGGGAGCGGGAGCTCTGATTGGATCGCCCCGTGGATCGCTCAGCTGAAAGAAATCCTCTCCGCCTTCCGCGCCCCCCCACCCCCGCCGGCAAGGTCCTGGTTGCTAAGGCGGGCGCAGAGCCCGGCGCAAGCCCCGCGCGCAAAGGGAGCGCAGAGGAGGAGGAGGAGGAGGAGGAGGAGCTGAAGTTGTTGCTTGGGAAAGGAACCTCGGCAAAGGGACGAGCAAAGAAATCCAAAACTGCAGGAAGGTGGTTTAATTGAGTTCTGCAGAACTCCTCGGCAGGCTGGATGTTTCAAGGGGAGTGAAGCCTGAAGGTTGCAACAAATGTCGCCCTGCGTCGAGGAGATGACCTTCCCCGCCCCCTCTCAAACGTCGAACCCAAAAAGTTCTGAATATTGAAAAGACACTTCTGTGCATGCATGAATGTATGCCTTTGTGGTTGACAGCCATTTCTGTTTTCTGCCGATACCTATTTTATTCCTCTGAAGTTCAAATACATGACACTAAGAGGAATGACGATGTGCAGAGCATTTCAGCAACTGAGCACCTGCCATCGAGACAGAAACGCTCATTCCCCAGTTCAAAGGAACAAATGGTTAACCTGAGTGACTTTCTAATATAGCCAAACATCATTTTTGCCAACGGTTAGCAACCCATTCCCAGCGGCAGTACACTGGATGCACTGTAAACAGAAGTGTGTATTTAGCCGTACAATAACGGCTCATAATTACAAATACATTATTCTACTAAGCACTTCCCGAGACCTAGAAGAAGGGGATCCATACTGGGGAGTTTGTGCATATATGGGTTGCTGTTTCTGTGTGTTTGTCTTCATCCGTATATTAACACTTTTGACTTTATGCTTCCAAAAACTTTCTCCTGTCCATCCTAGTGGATGGTGCTCTATGGGATGTGTTTGCAGTGTTGTCATCTAAAGCAGTACTTCGTCACTCACTGCAAGTTCCAGAAACCTGGGGTATATGATAGGCATGCATTTAAGTGTGCATTTATTTGTGTTCAAACACCTTCTATTTATTTTTTTACACCTATTTTTTTAAAAAAGGATTTGAAATACAAGTTTCCTCAATATACTATATATAAAACATCAGCTTTAAAAAATTGAAAAAGGTGTGTTTTGCTCCCATGTACCAAATGAATGTCCCTTGACCAAATCCTTAGAAACTTTAAATTTATTGGTAATAAGGTTTCTGTCCCAAACCTGGTATGTTTACATTTGTGCCAGTTGCTATTATTACCCAATAAATTTCTTTTTCTGTCATAAGCCAGTCCCACAGGTCAAGGGTTCCTGGCAGAAAACTGCATTATCATATCTGAAGCTTAAAGCTCAAAAATAAAAGTTTAATTGGTGGTTGCTTAGAGTGCAATCTGAAGTGTACTGATGGTTTTCCACCCAGTTTTCATATCCTACTACTGACTTCTGGGAGAAAAAGGGTTAACTCAAACCTAGCAGCAGAAGAATTTAGAAGGCAAGGAGTCGCCCAAGTTTCCTTCACCTTTTTCTTTAAAAGGAATTAAAAGATGTTGCTTTGTGTGGAAAACCACCTAACATTTGAATGGAGAAAGGCCTTGGGGTAGCCCATGCAGTGCTCTCCAGCCAACTCCACCAACCTCAGCTAGCACAGTCCATGGCAGGGATGCTGGGAGTTGCTCCTGCTGCATGAATGCACCTTTCAAGCTCCTGTTCCCACAGCAGCCTGCCTATTGCTGCTGAATATTCCATGAAGGTAGTTCAAGTGCTAGAGCCGGAAGGTTAAGTGACATGGCTGCTTTGTGCTTATGGCTGGATTGTGCATTCCTAGAGTGTGATTGCCTCCTTACTGAAGATGACCAAGCCTGGAACGTTTGGGTGTAGTCAGCAAAACTGAACTCAGCGCAGACCCACTGGAATGAGCCTAATTCAGTCAGGCCCACTAATTCCAGTGGGTCCACTCTGAGTTAGCTGAATGCCACCTTTGATCTGCTGGTTGGCAAGATCTCCCAGTTGAACAGCATGCGAGCCATACATGAAGGAAGCCCTGAGAAAAGTCACTTTAAAATCTCATTGATTTCAATGGACGTTAGAATGCACGGTTATCTCTCCCACTGGAAATCATGGTAGTTTAAAATATTCTATTTTTGCTGGATTGTTCCCAGTGTGTAGAACTACAAAAAGTGATATATCTGTGAAATATATTTGCTTTTGTATGAACATTGTTTTTTTAAAGGGGAAGCACTTATTCCCCCCCCGTCAAATAAATACAGTATGAGCCTTGTCAATTAAAATACAAACATCTTACACCTTACTACAACCAAACAAGTTTATTGAAACTGCAGCTACAAACTTCAGCCACATCAGATTCTTAATTACATATTATTTTCTAAAGTTGTTTCACATTGCAGTAGCTGACAAACACAAAATATGGTTATCAAAACAAAAGATGAAACTTTTTTTACCTAAGGAAAAGATTTTTGTTCATTGCAGAGTAAAAGAGCAGAAGACCACCAGTTCCTTGCAAACGTGCATATCTTTGAAAGCTGGAACATTTCCCAAACAACTCAGTTTTCCATAAACTAACATTTCGTTCCTCTTTAAATTCACTTGGAGCTCCTCAACTGAGTGTGCATTCTCTTTTCAGGCCTGCAATGATGGCTTTTCTTTTCATCCATGCCAGTGACAGACACACCCAGAAAAAATATGTTCAGGTTCACAGACAGCTGCAGAGAAACTATATATAGAAAAAAGATTGTAAAACTAGCAAGTTTTTGTCACTTGAAAAATTGAAGATGAATTTAAATATGCTATTTTTTTTAAAGGAAATCTGCATTCTACTGTGAAGAAGCAATTGTTCAATACCCAAGAGATTATATGGAAATACGAACAAACCTTCGTTGCTAGGACCTCTATTCTGATCTGAGGGGGCTGAGTAAAGCAGGGGGTCTGGCAGGTCACTGAGCAGCCTTGCACAATACAGCCTCCTGTCAACATTTGCTGGGAGCAGACCAGCAGATTCTAGTCTTGTCCCTTGTTTACACAGTCCTAGCTAAGGAAGGATGTCAGGAGCAGGATTAGGGCTACAGAATGAGACTGTTCTCATTCAGTTAGCCCAACTCGTAGTAGAAGAGACACTGCTTAACACTGCCACCAGCTGGGGCAAAAGTAAAATATATGTTTTGCTGAAAAACATATGGCCAATTTTGCTTTAAGCAGCACATTACTAATTGGCCATGTTAGTAAAAATGACATAAAACAACGTAAATGCAGGTGGCCAAACTGCAAATTTCACAGGGCATAACTGGTTCAACAATAACAGTCCCATAATGGGAAATTATAGGCCCGTTTTCTTTACATTAAATTCTCAACTTTTCTGGAGGACAGTAATCTATGAAGCCCAGGCTGCTTTCCAGGCAAACTACAGTGGTACCTCAGGATGCGAACAGGATCCGTTCCAGAGCCCCGTTCGCATCCAGAAGCAAACGTAACTAGTGATGGCACGTCTGCGCACACGTCGCTTTTCTCCACTTCTGCACATGCACGTGACATCATTTTGAGCGTCTGCGCAAGCAGCGAAACCCGGAAATAACGTGCTCCGTTACTTCCAGGTTGCCGCGGAGCGCAACTCGAACGCGCTCAACATGAAGCATATTCAACCCGAGGTATGACTGTACTCAACATCCGATCACTATTCTTGCGCTGTTACACCTAGCAGACAAATATATTAGACCACTCCAAGGCCATCTATATGTGGCCTTTGTGGACCTAAAATCTGCCATTGACCCCATCCCTAGATCCAAATTATGGTCAAAGTTGCATTTCATGATGGAGGACAAAAGTCTCCTCTATCTTATAAAGCTTTATATATTGATAGTAATATGCAGGTAAGAGATGGTCTGTTGGGGCTAACTAAATTATGATGTCAAGAGGGGTCTCCCTATTGCTTAATCTCTTTTTAATGACTTAGAGAAAGTCCTAATGGGCCCAGATGGACAGTGTCCCAAGCTGGGGGCAAGAAGCACCCCGCTTCCACTGTATACAGACAACACTGCTTATCCTCTCATGCGCCAAATCTGGCTTAAAACATCAACTAAGGAAGTTTTCGGATTAATGTCTTGAAAGCGACCTTATAATCAATTGTGATAAATAAATAAAAATCATGGTTTTTGGAAATAGATTTTCCCCATAAAGATGGATCCTCAATGGTTATGCACTTGAACAGACTAAAAGCTTTCAGTATTTAGGGCTTACTGTCCACCTTACAGTCTTACACAGGAAGGTCAGTATATTCCCTAAGCTTTAAAAGTGTTCAGTGCAAAATCTGTAATACAATTCCTTTATGCCTCAAATATTTGGTATAATGGTTCTTTCCCTAAACTTGATAGATTTCAATCAAAGTTTCTGAGGTCCCTACTTCAGGTACCAAATTCAATAACTTCTTTTGGAAACTGGTGAATGCCCACTTTCAATTAAGGCCTGGTGGAGTGAACTGAAATATTGGCTAAGAGTCTGTGTATATAGTCCTGGAAATGGTCTACTCTGTATATGGTCTTGGAAATGGTCTACTCATTTGATAAATGAGTATATCAGTTCCTGGTCAAAAACCATGGTGTGTAAGCCCTCTTCCATAGGTCTTTCACCATCTTTTCCTATCCACCTGGGGTATGATGCTGCCCTCAAAACTGTGAAACAGAGGTTATGGGATGGTGCCTTCAGTGACTTACAATCTCACATATATGTGCCCTGTCTGTGTTAGGAATCCAATATCTGCAGGGTTTCTTGTTATCTCCCTACCTTAAGAGTCTGACCATATCAAACTATTGCCGTTTTGTTTTCTAAAGCCAGATTAAATATTTTTCCATCTGAAGTGAAGGTACTGGGCCAAAACAAACAAAATGAATTTCAATAGGGACAAATGTGCAGTTACACACTTAAGCAGGAAGAACTAGATGCACAAATATAAGATGGGAGACACCTGGTATGCCATCTAGGGGTCTTAGCAGACCACAAGTTAAACATGGTCATCTGTCATGGATGGTTTAGTTGAGATTCCTGCATTGCAGGAGGTGGGACTAGATCACCCTCAAGGTTCCTTCCAACTCTACAATTCTATGACGATAATCTTCTACAAAGTGAGAAGTGCTACACCAAACTGTTTAGGTTGACATAGCTAAGCAATTAATAAAGGCAATGGCTCAGCAGTAGAAATGGAACAGAAAAATTCAAGGCAGAATATAAAGAGGTTGTTCAAGTTTTCAAGTTCCTGATAAGCCCAATGGCTGAATTCCATCATGAGCAACTTTCTGGGAGCTACAGCCAGTGGAAGAGACAATTGAGCAACATAAGCAACTGTTGTTGTTTTTTTACAATAGGCTACATTCCAGCCATGCAAAAATCAGTTTTCTACATGCAAATCTCCTCATCCGGTCAAGCAAGAGATCCTGGTCACAGTTCAGGAATACACATTGACCAAACAGAGGCACTTGAAGAGAGGTGTGGCCATGAGAGAGCTCTGGGGGTAAAACAGAGGTCTGGAGGGCCACATTCTATTTATGATAAAAGAAAATGGCCAGTAGATATCCGCCAAGCTAAGATGTATGCAATATTAGAATTTGAAGGTAGTTTGGGTACTCACCTGCTTATTTCTTTTGCTTTCCGTCAGATTTACATCCAAATCTCTTTTCCAGAAGTGATGAAGTCATTTGCACAATAGAGCTAAGCGATAAGCCACTAAGCAAACCCTTATTTTCTTTTATCTCTACCAAAGCATCCAAAATTTTGTCTCTAAAAGAGAAGGAGAAAAGGAGATGAGAGCCTCCAGAGAATTTCAGTAAAAAAAAATTTCTGAATCCCACCATTAAAAAGTATACTTGCCTATGAAGCTCTGGATACAGATCTTCCAGCTTCTTCACCACTTTACGGAAGCTTCTTAAGTTTAATGCGTTTGGTGGTATAAAGGTAGCAGATGGATTTGGAACAAACTGTACTGAACCCAACGGTAAGAGGCCCCCTGCAAGATCCTAGGCAAATATTACATGAGCTACTTAATGGACAAAATAAGGAAAAACTGCATTTGTACTGAAGAACTAAGGAAAGCTAAAATTGAAACAAATATTCAGTAAAATGTTAGAAAATGCTTCCCACTACATTTGCAAAAAGAAGTGGAGCCTCTACCCACAGAACACCTTGTGTGGATTTGCCTTTCAACCTGAGTGCGTGCTGTTCAAAAGCAACTATGTCAACCACTTCATCATGGTTAGGTGGAGGGGAGGCAGCTGTCCCATCCCAATTCCATGCCACGTGATGAGCAAATTATCTCCCGCCAGGTCTAAACACAGTAACTGTTTAAATGTAATCTGCAATTGGAGCTTTCCTATTCCTTGCAATCCAACTCTGGTTCAGGTTTTCTGCTTCACTTTCCTTGCTCTGCAGCCTGCCTGTGGTCTGTAAATCCTTCACATTCCCCCTAGGACCTCTCTCTGCTGTTGCTGCATCTTGCCTTTTATGCAGACCCTCCAACATACTTGCTGTCTCATCTTTCTCACCTTTATCTGGTTAGGCTGGGAGAAAAGTGACAAAGCAGCAGCAGCCCCTGCATCCCCCCAACTCCAACCTTAACAAGTCTCCTGCTTTTACCCCAAAGTGTGATCAATGGTGGTGCTAGACTAAGTTAACCATGGCTTAGATTCAGTGGGAGTGGGGCAGTTTGCTCCACAATGGAGCACCCAATCCTATGGCCTGCACCCAATCACTTAAACAATGTGTTAAGCAGTCAGTATTATCCTTACAAAAGAAGAATGCATGCACTGTGATTTAAAAGATGTTCTGACATACATTCCAATAGGGAGAAAAAGTTACCTCTTGATCAATTTCAAGATGTGTATTTTCTGATGAAAGTTTAGAAGATTTGAGATCAGGCTTGGGTACTTTGTAAGGGGCTGAAGCACAAAGAGACCCTTTTGAAGAGCCCAAGAGAGGCCTGGGAGCACTTGCTGAAGGCAAAGGCAACTTTAAAGGACTTTTGCAGATACTGGGCCCTTTTGAAGAGATGGCAGGCATTTTGCAAGCAGCGGAGGCAGAAGTGGGTGCATTAAACATAAGATTACAGTTATTTCTATTTTCGTTATTCTTTTCACAGCTATAACGTGGTCCTTTGTTTCCATACTCTGGTTTCACATAACTCTGATAATCCAGGAGCCCATTTTCTTTTGCAGTCTTTACAAGATGAACCTTTACTGCTTGGCCCTTTATTTCTCTCTCGTTCATTTCTTTCACTGCCAGCTTTGCATCACAGGCTGTTTTGAAACTAAGGAAAGCGTATCTAGAATGAAAAAGACGTGCCAAAATTAAGAAAAATGGAAAATTTAAGACCTATCCAATATGCCTCTTCAACTGTAAACCAAAACGTTAAGAGGTATAATCCTTTCTCCTATGCAAAAGAATCAATTAAGCCCATTTACTTTCTTGCCCCTTTGGCAACATAGACAGACAACACTGCCTGCAGTGACAGAACTATGCCACACCTTCCCTTCTCAAGGCCAGGCACACACGCACCACGTGCGCGCACACAACTTATGCTCTGAGCAGGAGCAGCCTGTGCTCATGGCCCTGCCGTGGAACAGGATGGCTGGATTTCATACCCAAAAGGCTCCATAAATTTTATAATCAGGTTCATTTTCATGAGGTGTGCACATGAAGGGATTTACACAGTCTCTGTTTCAATGAGAAATTTACAGAGCTTTATTATGGTTTGGATAGCTCACTTGGTTAGGACGTGGCGCTGATAACACCAGGCTGCAGGTTTGATCCCCGTATGGGATGGCTGCATATTCCTGCATTGCAGGGGGTTGGACTAGATGACCCTCAGGGTCCCTCCCAACTCTACAATTCTATGGTTCTATGTCTTGCAGCATATAGCAAGTACATTTAATGTAATTTGTGTTAGTGTATAGTATGATTAGTTGAGGTTTTAAGGTTCATTCTATGCATGGTTTATTTCATGAACTGTCCTATTGCAATTAATGCCCACATTTATAATTACCAGCATTATTTATTTATTTAGATCCGATTCTCAGAGTGTCCCTGAGAAAGGCTGCAACCAACCAAAATTCACTGGGAATGTTATTGTTTTATTAGGATTACTTTTATACATTAGAAATAGCTTTTAGTCGCCCTTCTGAGGCTTTGCTTCTACTTTTGTTTGCTTTGGAGTGACAAATGCAAAGCATCCAGCAGCCCACAAGACCAGGTAATGGCTGTGTCTGCTGCGTGCCCACAACAGACCAAAGGCAAGCGGGAAAAGAGGGAACGGGGGAAAGGCTTCAAAGAGCCATATGGTGACAGATCCCTAGGATCCTGCAAATCATCCATTAATAACGAAAGTACAGCGGGCCTGCCACTTATGTGAGGGTTTCGTTCCGGGGATTTGCAAGCAAAGGCAAAATAACACAAACTGCCCTTCTAAGAGGCAGAAGGCTGCTTACCAGGGCCTGGGAAGGTTGCATGAGGCCCCCAAGAGCTTCCCAGACCCCAGGAAGCGAAGCAGCACCTTTCTTGCTGGCCTCTGGGATGCTCCCATAGCCCCCCCCCCTTCCCAAAAGGCACCGCCATGCTTACCTGGTTTCGGAAGGCAGTGCAAGGGCTTGGGGATGCTGCCACAGCTCACTCCCGACCCAAAGCCCAGAAACCAAGGAAAACATGCTGGGTGCACAAAAAACAAATAAATGGAGAGCAGAGGGTCTCCCCAACTCTGCATTTATTTATTTATCTCCCCCCCCCCTCGCTCCCCATGTAAGATTGTGATCGCGTAAGTAAGTATGTGCTGGCCTACTGTCTTTCACTGAATGTACTTCAGTTATGAAATCATGCAAGCAAAAAATTACAGTATATTATAGAGTACCTGCAATTGGCAGAATATTCACAAATGGAAATCTCAGAAACATTATACTTCTGGAAATGAAGCCACAGATCAACCTGAAATAGACAAAAAGACTTTCACTGACACAGGTTAAGAAATAGCATTCGGTGAAATAAACTATTATATTTAAATATATGTTGACTTACCTCTGATACTAAGGGACCTAAATCTGCAACATGAACACTATATATGTTCTTTAGCTCCTTTTTTGTGTCTTTTATAGTCTGTGTTTCTAGAAGGGTAGATTACAACAATAATGCATAACTCAGCATGTGTATTTTGAAAGAAAAAGAAATTTAACTGCATAAATAAAGCACCAATACTGAAGACAGAAAACACATTCAGAAATGGTTAAGAAGAAGAAAATCCCTTCTAGAATTCTTTTTATGGTCATACATTAGGTCACAGTTCCCTGGAATGCAAAGGACTTATTACCAAGACTTTGATTAGAACTATAAAAATCTCCATTTGCTCTATTTTTACAGTTTGTGTCTGAGCTCTTGCAATAAAAACTCACAAGTTCAGCTCAGGATCAGAATGTAAAAGAATAGTTAAACAGAGCTCTCATACAAGCCTTTTTTTTCTTTTTCTTTTTTAAAAACGGTGCATGTCCTGCAAAGATGTAAATTTGGGCACTAGAACCAGTTAGCTAAAGAAGTAGCCAACTCAAAATTTATTACAGGAATCAGTAATTGGGGGCTCCTCGTTACAAGGTATACTTATGATTACAATAAAATTAGCAATTGAGATTTTTTTTTCATCTCCAACATAAAAATGAAAAGTATTTAAAAAACCTCTGTTTAGCATCACTGTTTCAGAAATTTCAAAGGACCAGGAAAACATGTACTTTTCATGCTATGTGTGTCCCTGAAAAAAATATGACTTCACTTTGTTTGCCCTGTCATTTTCCACAGGCATGAAACACCAACGTGATACACCAGAACAAAACAGTAATATTTACTGCAAAAGTTTTTGGGGGTTTTTTTTAGAGTGCAAGGAGAAATCCAAGTAGGTTATAATCATCCTGCTGCTCCAAAGGCAAGAAGCAACAAACTTTAAAAGGCAGCTGATGTAATTCCTACTAGAGCCTGAGTTCCATCCTGCGGCAGAGGTGCTGAAGAATCCTTAGACAGGTAGAAGAATGAGAGACACTGGAGGCTGAGAGGAACACGCAGAGGAAACAAAAAGGACCAGGAAGATTCAAAATGCTGAGCCCAAACTGGCCCCTAGGAAGGCTGGGGAGAAACTACAAATCCACCTAACAGTTACCATGTCCAGCCCACGTTTTACCAGCTTCTCCGCAAGAGTATCACGGGGGATATCACCCAGTTTCTTAGGGTATCTACATACACTAGAGATGACGTCCCCTACCTTGAAGAAGAGATGTGAGCACCAGCTACCTAGCTAAACCTTTAGAACATTTCTAAAACTGAATCTGTGCAGGGGTGGATGTTCATGTGGGAACAAAGGTAACCAAAGCTCAGAAGTCGTATCAGGGCTATTCCCAAACTAATACAGTCAACATGCACCTGATGTATTACTTGGCCTTAACTGATCTGTAAGTGGCAGTGAAGAATCAGTTACTGTCAGGTTCTCTGTAGCGTCAAACCAGCCTTCACTGATTTCTTGAGTATTTGAAGAACCTTGAAACAGATGTAAATATTAAACACACAACACAGAGGTAAGCTCAGAACAGGTAGAAAAAAGGTAAGTAGTCCTGGGCTCATCCCCAGAGCCTTGTCTTTAAAATTTGCCAAACACACAGAAAATTTGCTGAACAGGGTTCAGGAGAGCATATCTACACCAACTGAAGGGCCGATAAAAATAATTTTTTTAATTAAGATTTTAATTATGTCAGGTGTCTCTCTCTAAAAAAAAAACAGCTTAAAATTAAATCTGAACTTAATGCAAGTGCCTACATTTACAACATCTACAGACTAAATCTGTGAGATCGAAACACGGTGAGTTAAAGCTTGGGTTGTTGTTTTTTTTAAGATAAAGAAGAACACCTGACATTTAAGATAAGCACTACAAATATGGCTCAATAAGCCATGTATTATTGTGGCAAACTATGACTATGAACCAAATAGCAAGGAAAAGCACTGTTCTACTCAGTAATTACCAGTCTTTGTTCTGTATGGTGCTTGTATGTGACTGCCTGCTTAGATAATTGGGATGAGGTGCATGCGGCGCTGCCGCTCCAGTTGCCGTAGCGATTGAAGATATCTCACCCCTCCGCGGCTTTCCCACAGCTCCTCCTTCGTCTGCTGTCCTCCTCCCCCTCTGCCCGCCCTACAGCTAGAGGTGAGGCTGCTGCTGGTCCGTTTGTGCCGCGAGGCATCTGCGCCCGGATACTCGTGAGCGGCGCTGCAGTTGTAGGGCGGGCTGGGCGGGCTGATTTCTGCCGCGCAATTGGCGATGTTGTCCGTGGCGATCAAAGATATCTCTCCCCTCAGCCCGCCCTACAACTGCAGCGCCGCTCATGAGTATCCGGGCCCAGAAACAGACTGCCTTCAGCCTCCCTCCCAGCTGTAGTGCAGGCAGAGTGGGAGGAGGCAAGCAGACTAAGAATGCCCTGCAGGAAAGGCAAAAAGAGCTAAAAGTAATTTTTTTTAAAAGCTTCATCACTCTGCCCCCCCCCCCCAAAAAGCTCAGCAATTGCCGGTGAGGGAACAGCTGATACGCGGCATGTTAGACACGTGCGGCTGTTAGCCTCTGGGCAATCCCCCCCCCCCCACCAAAAGCTCAACAAGTCAGGGCAATTTACCCCCCCCCCCCAAAATAGGGGGCACCCTATACGTGGGTGCATCTTATACATGGAAAAATACTGTAAATTGGATTTTTAAAATAAAATGCTTTTGGAGGGGAAATCTTTCTAAAGATAGTTTTCTATTCAAGTTACATCATAGTTCAAAGGCTATTCATCAAGAAATAAGGATTTGTTTTAAGTTTTTCATGTGAGTTAAAACTCAGTTTAAGTTATTATTATTTTTAATTGTTTAACCACACTGGTTAACAAACATGGATACATATACTATAATATTATTGTTTTAGTTAAATAAATTGTTTAAATTGTTATTAAGGAAATGATTATTTTTCTCCTTCCAATAAAGAACAGCAGAAAAGTTGTCCAAATATAAACAGTTAACTTGTTAAACCTCACAATAATTTCATAATTATCTGTGTATTTCTAATAGTATAACCAAATCAGTAATTTTTAATATAACTGTGAAAACTACTCTGAAAAATTATTATTCTAAAAATGAAACCTTCATCTGGTTGTAAATATTAAGATTATACCAGCAAGAATGAGTCTTTCTGGAAAAAAATGATTTAAATCATATCCACCCTGATATACATTATGTTACTTTGGCACACTACTAGTGGTGCCCCTTCCTTGTGTCCCTTTGCCTGAAATCAAATCCACTCCCCAATTAGGAACATTCTGATTGGAACTTAAAATTGTGAATATTTAACTACTTGCATATCATATTTAATGCTTGGTATAGAGGACAAACCAGTTACAATGTAATAATTTCATCCAGCATTTAAAAATGTTTAACTTACTATTTTCAATAAGTTCATATTTCTCTTCTTCAGAGGTTTTGTTGGAAAGGGACAAATCAGGGCTACTGTTTTCACCATCCTTCTTTTGACATGTAACCTAAAGTTAAAAAACAAGAACAGATTTTAATTTTTGCTCAACAGACAGCTTTTCAGTGCCAACTTCTTCAAGCACAGGCCAGTTTTAGAAGAAGTTATTTCCTGCTTCACAATTCAGAGAAGCACCATCTTGGAATACCCCTTTCTCTTAGGGTTTCTCTGAGATGCAACAAGAGCTTGTAATTTCCAAATACAAAAGTTACACTTTTTGAAACAGAAATTTAACCAAAACAGTGAAAGGGTACACACTCACTTAAAAGATACTTCAATGAGCAATCTGCCCTGTGGTATTTATTTTTGAGGCTGATATAATGGTTCTGCTTTATATTGGCTATATTATACCCCATTGCTAGCACAGGTTTATATTTATGTTTAATAGAGAAGTTGTAATGTAGAATCAGCCTTCAAAATAAACCATTTTGAAAGTTCACAAAGAATTCTTAAGGTAGTGTTGTAATGAAGTATGCAGAAGACTTACTAAAGGGAGTGAAGAAACTTCCATATTCTGTGGCAATGGCACCTGAAACACAGATTTTCCTGTCCCAAGGGTAGAACTGAAAAAATAATCAAACGTATATTCATTGATTTGGCATTTGCTGAGGTATAGAAAGCACCTTTTAGCCACTTTCTATTTTTATCAAAACAGCCTCAATTCTCCATGTGTCAGAAGAAAGAATCTTGCCTTTAATATAATTTGGAAATACTTTAGGTACGATAATGAGTTATGACCATTTCTGAAAGATCAAGTGAGCGGCAAATCTCAAAAACCTTCCATGTAGAGGTGCTAAAGGGCTGTGCAGATGTACACTGGTGAGACCAAGGAATGAGAGATAGTCACTGATGCACATTGCCTTTGTTACTGAAGTCAACATTTTCATATTGAATGTGCAACATATAAAAGGCTTGACGTGTTTCAGATCCAAAAGGTTTGTGGATACTCCTGTAACTTCTCCCAGGCAAAATGTGCCTTAGGTGAGGTAGGGAAAAGAGGAGCTCCATGAACGGTCTGAATAGCTTAGTCCTATGTCCCCACTTGTTCAAGGCCACCTATTTGTTGCCTAGAGACCTCCTAGATGACAAGGGAATTCCTCTTGTCATTTGTGCCCACCTACAGTTCAAAAGAAGGGATGCAACCTTTATTTGGTGATGCCTAGGCACTGCACATCAAATTTTCTCTTTCCAGGTAACCACATAAGGGGAAGGGGCTGTTTAGTTAGTGACTTCTCTTATGAAGTGACATCTCAGAATCCTTTTGTTTCTCTGGAATAGGAAGTTTTTTGCCAAAATGTAGGGAGCTTTTGAGAAAACTCTAACATGGCAGGAGTTGCATTTGAAAGAAAAAACTAAGGAAATACTAACATGAATATAGATGCATTCAGCCTCATGCCTAAATCTCCAGGCTAAACTTACTGACTCACTAAACAGTTATTCCAAATACTTTTCTCAAACTGTTGTACAAAGGCTAACTTCCTTGAGTAGTCTGCTTTCTTTGGAGTCACTGGACAGAATATTTATGCCTTTAACTCAACTCTTCCCTCCTACCTGACTTTCAGCTAGGTCCCACAGACACAGCAGCTCTTAGCCTTACAATACAATGCTATGAATACAACGAGTAAATATGCATGGATTATACTGAAAATGTTTGTATTAGTAATCATATTTGGTGTTCTGCCCAAACCAGTTAACAGTCCACCTTCCACACCAGAAACTATTTCATACATACCCATTTACAGATTTCTTTTTGTCCATGGAATTAATGCAAGTCTGCCAGCAGTGCTGTTGATACATCTGATAGCGAATTTTTAAAAGCTGCACTTCCGCTTTTATAGCTCTCTCCAGTATTTCCTTACAGCAGCTTGGTAAATGGTTGTTTATTTCTTGAGAAAGCTGCATTATCCTTTTAAAAGAAATATTAAGTTTGAATACAAACAAAAGTGATTTAGGGGATTCTACTTAAGTGTACATTTAGAAAACAAAAAAGAACAATTGAAAAGTCATTCCCAACCAGAAAAATAAGGAATTTATAAAGGTAAAGTTAAAGGACCCCTGGACGGTTAAGTCCAGTCGAATTCGACTCTGGGGTACAGTGCTCATCTCCGCTTTCAGGCTGACAGCTTTCCGGGTCACCTGGCCAGAATGACTAAACCGCTTCTGGCACAATAGGATACTGTGACCGAAGCCAGAATGCACGGAAACACCATTTACCTTTCCACTGCAGAGCTACTTGCACCGGTATGTTTTTGGACTGCTAGGTTGGCAGAAGCTGGGACAAAGTGATGGAAGCTCACCCCATCATGCAGATTTAAACTGCCGACCTTCCAATTGGCAAGCCCAAGAGGGTTGGTGGTTTAGACCACAGCGCCACCTGCACCCCCATAAGGGATTTATAAGCCAGCAACGTGAGTAACATTCTTACTCAGCTAGCCTTCTGTTTTCATGGCCCAGTTCTAGTCATACTAATTCTCACCAGCCTGGATTCAGGGTGCTCCTTCTTAGAAGGGCTGGCAATTCGAACCAGAAACTGCAATGGAAAGAGGGGAGGACAATTTTCATGGATTTGCTGGAGCAGAATAGGTGGTGGTGGGGAACTGCCCTGCTGGAAAAACTGACTAAGCTGAGAGTCCTTAGGGATCAAAGATAAAATGACAACTTTGGACCTGTTTGGTTTGACTTACTTCATTTGTAAGCGAGGAGAAAAATGGCCAAGGACCTCCATTCAGCCCACAAACCATTATGGCTGATCCAGTGACTCAGGATATCTGCATACTTTAAATACTTTCCCTTGGTATAACAGGGTCCATGTTTTGTAACCACCTCTTGCTTAACAATTATGTCTATGCTATAAATAGTTCTAATCACTATCTTCCATGCATTCACATACCTGTGGTTTATTTATTTTGGTTATAATGTTTTTATTTGTTTGACACTGATCTGTAATTGTATATGGACCTTTTCGCTCTATAAGACGCACCTAGTTTTTAGAGGTGCTATGATGCTCATGTACTGCTTGTGGGCTTCCCACAGGCATCAAGCTGGCCACTGTCTCTGCGCAGCGCCACCCCTTCAGCGAAGCGGGAGGAGGAACAGAAGGGGCTCCGTTCCTCCTCTCGCTTCGCAGGAGAGGCGCTTCGCTGAAGGGGCGCTGCGCAGCTCTCCCTCTCTGCACAGCGCCTCTCCTGCGAAGCGGCTTTCACTCCATAAGATGCACTCACATTCCCCCTTACTTTTTAGGAGGAAAAAAGTGCGTCTTATGGAGCGAAAAATACGGTATGTATATTGTCATCAGTTCCTGTTTGTTAACACTGTTATTTGTAGAATCTTGAATCACCTTTCTTTGAAAATTAATAAAAAATATTTTGCAGGGGAGTTGGCAACATTGCCTCCCTCCTCCCTCGTGTAACCACAGATTCCAGCTGGTGGAGCTTTAAGAACCTCAAAGGAAATTAAGTTTTAAGAAGTAGTAAAAATCACTTAAAAGGTGTATCATACCTGTTTGGAATTTCATTTAAGTCTCTGCTAGTGCTATTTTTCCATTCCAAAAGATCCTAGAAATAGCAATTTTAGTAAGTTTTATTGACAAACTAAAGTTGTAAATCAGATTTAACTAGCAAGTCCCTAAACCTTATGTAACACACACTGAGAATGCTCCTTGTTTCAACAAGAGAATCCAGAATTTTGCATGTCTAGCCATATTATATGGGCTTCCTAAGTTACGAATACAAACACAAGGACGACTGTCCTACAGGAATCAGAAACACATACGAGCTGTACTTGGCCGCAGCTCTTCAGCATTTGCACTCTGAACACCAGCATGTATGCCCTGCATACGATGCTCCTGGATCTGATCTGGGAAGGAAAGAGTGCTGATCTTTATCAAGGGCAAGGCAGCCAGAACCGCTTTAAGAACTGGAACCAGTAAGAACTTGTGCTTCAGCTCACTTTTGCCTAATTTCTTTGCCTCCCTTTCCCTCCTGCCTCATTATCTCTTTACACTGTGAGCCTGAGGGCAGGGACTATTTTTGTAAGCTGCTTTTTTGGCTAAAAGGGGGGGGGCATTACAAACGCTGTAAACAAATAGGTAACAGATGTGGGCTGCACACTAATCCTTATGGAGAAATTCCAAAGGTGCCTTATGACTGCACCTTATGAACATCCAATGCTACCAATGTTGTGAACCAGCTATTCACATTTTGTCTGTCTCAGAGTCTAGAAGCATGATTAAGACTGGTAAAGATTTCTTGGGCTCTAGCCAACAGGTTTCTCAGAAAACGTGAGTTAAACTCAAAGCCTAAGGATTCAGAGCTTTGGCTGTCCACTTGTACATGCAACTGCCTACCCAGATAGGAAGACAAACACATGCCTGGCAACATGTTTCCGCATACCTATGCCCCCTAACTTGATAATGGTGGGCGCATGGCCTTGAAGTAGGAAGCAGATACAATTATGGTCTGCCTCAAATAATAACTAATTCCACAAGCTTCCCCATGTTTTTCAAAGTTACCTCCTTTTGATTTGAATCCATGTTTTACCTTGTCACTAGTGATACAGTTTTCCAACATATCATCCATTGCTGCTTGTGCGGTAGTCATCTCCATGTTGTCAGATATGCATGACCAATCTGTATTGCAGGCAACACTTCTGACGGAATCCCTCAGCCACTGCTTGGGCCTTTCTTTGTTCATCATCGTTATAACTGTATTTTGTCCTCTGGACACTACTGAAGCCTTGACATTAGTTGCTCTGCTTGTTGTAAAACAAGCTCTAAAATCAGAACTTGCATCAACAGCTTGGTTAATTGTACTCTGATTATTAAATGCTTTATAGGTGTGATTTGGCTTCTTAGAATCAACTACAGCTTCATAATCAGAGAAATTTGAAATTTCTGTATCACCGCTAGAGGTGTGTGCATGGGAACATTTTCTTTCCTGCTGCAATACATGTGTATTTCCAGTTTTCAGGGTTCTACCTGAAAGATAATCTGTTTTCATATTTTTATCAATTTTAGAGTTGCTCCCTGAGAATAATTTTGGATTATTAGCCTTAGCACTAACTGAATGTTTACTGACAATACTACTGAGCAGACTAATAGTCTCATCTCCTGGTTGATCATCAAAATTCAAACCTTTGCCTTGTGTGTCACATTTGCTATCTTGCGAAGTCTGGGGGAATTCTGGTATTTTGCTGTATTTGTAGCAGTCACAATCAATACTACAACCTGAAGTAGGAGACTCATCTTTTTGTTTGTTCATGGGACACTGGGCATCTGCAAGCTGATTTTCATTTGACAGTTCCTTGTCGTGAAAAGCTTCTGGCCGATGACCAATGCAATCTTGTAGTCCAATGCAGTCTAGTGTGGAATCATCTAAGCCTCTGCATCTGTACTCCTCATTTTGATTGCTACTTAAGTAGGAAGAGTCTGCAGCAGTATCCAAGTTCATATCTGTCTCACTTACATTAGGCAGTGCAATGGACATTCCCTCACCTTCCTTATGTGCAGATTCCAGTTCCTCATCAGGCAATGCACTAAAATAAGGCAAGCTTCCTTTTGATACGCTTAATTCTGAGGCACTTATGTAACATGACTGGCATGGAGAGGAGCAATTAGCAAGATTCAAGCAAAAGTCAGAGATATCATTAACTGTATTTTTTTCAGAATGTTCTGATCCATGGAGTGCACTCAGGACTGTTGATTTATGAGAATTGTTCTCAAATTCACTCTCTCTCTGCTCCATGGCTCCCACATCAGAATGGTTTCCAGAAGCAACAAGCATTGCTTCACGGAGCTTACTTTTCTCAGAACCATCTGATGGTAGCTGATGGGGTTTAACAGCTTTTTCACCTGTTTGGACAAAATACCAAATGCATATTTCAATATTCTTTCTCTAACCGAAATTTATCCTACATAGTGAAAAAAAGGAGTGCTGGCAGTGACTGCTCAATTTGGAAAGAAGAAACAGGTACATAGGAAACAGAAGAAAGGCAGTGAACTAGGACAAAGGGTACATTGATTGGTACTGATTAGGAAAAAATTGTTAGCTTTTAATAGTTATCGCTTCTACTTTTAGAATTTTTTAGCAAAATGTTAAAATCCACCAGACTATTTGTTATTAGACAGTGTACCAGATAAAGATAATTTTGCCAGTGGCAAAATGCACCTGGTACCCAGGAAATTTTGAACACTGTTTGTCTTCATGGGATCCAGAGCACCCTGGATCCCTTGCAGGGCCCAGTCCCTCTCTGATTTGCCAGACCTGAAGCTGCAGGGCCTCTGATGTGGTGAAGCATTTTATTTTGCACTAACAAAGCAAATACAGGCTACCTACACTGTAGAAAGCAAATTTATCATATGCTCTTATCATATAAAACTGAAGCTGAAATACTGCATCTTTCTTGCTCGTCCCACCCACTCCATTTCTTAATGTTTTCCACCTTCTGCTTAACTCCAAGCCTGGCATCTACCAATTCACAACTGTATACATGAATCATCCCACACAGCTTGATACCAGGAATGGAAACTGAGTAAGTCACTTTCTAAAGGCACACACAGAAAAATACTACGGGAGCAAGCAGCATGTCTACCCAAATTAAACTGGAATGATGGGGAAGTGGGGGAGGAGTCAGATGATACTCAACACCTTTAAAGAGCACTTACCCCATGTTTAAATCATATAAGAAAAGAGGAAGAAGGCCCTGCCTGTCTCAAAAAAGTAGTAACATACCCAGTTGGTGAACCACAGAAATATAAAATCATCATGTAACACACATCCCAGAAACTCGCTAAAAAACTGCATTTGGTTAACCAATATCACAGACAAATCAAAGTTGTCCTACCCTATCAACACCCAATAAGCATGGTAAATATGTTAAGCACAGCAAAAATGCATTCCAGTGGATCTTCCCTAAATCCAAAACTACTTCTCTTCGTAAGTCAACTAAGTGACACAAATGTAACAAAATGGGTTTTTAAAACTTGTGTGCAAACAAATTAGAATCATATAATTGTAGAGTTGGAAGGGATCTGAGGGTCATCTCATCCAATCCTCTGCAATGCAAGAATCTCAGCTAAAGTATCCATGGCAGATGACCACCCAACCTCTACTTTAAAACCTCCAAGGAAGGAGTCCACCACCTTCCGAGGGAGACCATTCCACTGTCAAAAAGCTCTTACCATTCATCCTTTGTCTACTATTGGCTACTTCGGAATCTGCTGGATTGATCGCTTGCATCGACAGGTGTCTTTTGTACAGGTACTGTAACGAGCTGCGATTACAGGTAAAACCTCTCCCTTAAAGCAGGTGCTTCTAATCTCAGCTTGTTACATACAGTGAAGATACCAGGTAGCCTGACATCTGGCTGGTTGATAGGGGATCAAATACTTATTTCACTCATTATAATGCACATCCATCTCTGACTTTTGTCTTCTGGGTTTCTGGGGGTTTTCCCGTTGTTATTCTGTCTCTCACAGCTACAATAAACCTACCATTAAAATTATGGACTGGTCATTTCTTCATCAGAGGGCAAACAGGCAAATTTAGCAGGGGATCAAATACCAATACTTTTTTCGCTCACTGTAAGCTCTATTTTCTTATTAAGATTGCTCACAGTACAAATTATGGTATAGTCACAAAACCCTAAGAAAAAAGTCACTAACTATTGAAAAGTAAAATTAACTCACCAGAAAAGCTATGAATAGTATTTGGCTTTTCTAAAACCTGAATTCCCCAGCCATTCATTTCAGCAGTAGCATATCTGTAGTAACTGTTTTCCAATTGTCCATATTTAAAGGTGACAGATGTGGAAGAAGGCACTACCATATGTGGATATGGTGCATCCACAGCCACAGGCATAGGCACATACACTCTTGGGTGAAACCAGAAAGGCGCCACTGAATATGGGACTTGACCATAAAGTGAACAATCTCTTGGGAAGCATGGCCTTGTACCAAACAGAGGTTGAATGTATGCTTTTTCATTAAAAGGAGGGTGCCATGACATATTTTAGACATGTGTATGACAGGGTGAGCGTATAATTCCTGGAAAGCAAGCAAAATAGACATGAATATAAAAAGGAATGGTTAAATAATCCAAAGTAGTACAATACATCTCTTATACATTCCAACTACATACTCATGGGTTAACTAAATCCTGGTGGTCAGTCAACTGAACCTCTTAACTAAAGCAACAACAGTGAAAAGTATGCATATCTACTCAGTTCAATGGGACTAACTCCCTAGCAGAATGTTGAGTTTCCCCTCTTTAAACAGCAAGCCTCAGTTCCAGAACTGGCTTGCTAATGACACGTGAAGTCGCTCTTTGGGAAATCCCACCTAAAATTCTCTTGGGCAGGTAGATGGTGGGCAGCTATTTAGGTCTTGACTACTGTCAATCAACATAAAAATACTTTAATGTCTAAGGCAAATTTCTTTTAATTCTTGGTAGCAGAGAATGCTCGCAGTTCTTTAGCAGGACCGGGTGACGTATTGATAAAGGTAAAGGGACCCCTGACCATTAGGTCCAGTCGTGACCGACTCTGGGGTTGTGGCGCTCATCTCGCTTTATTGGCCGAGGGAGCCGGTGTACAGCTTCTGGGTCATGTGGCCAGCATGACTAAGCCGCTTCTGGCGAACCAGAGCAGCGCACAGAAACACCGTTTACCTTCCCGCCAGAAGAAGAAGAAGAGTTTGGATTTGATATCCCGCTTTATCACTACCCGAAGGAGTCTCAAAGCGGCTAACATTCTCCTTTCCCTTCCTCCCCCACAACAAACACTCTGTGAGGTGAGTGGGGCTGAGAGACTTCAGAGAAGTGTGACTGGCCCAAGGTCACCCAGCAGCTGCATGTGGAGGAGCGGGGAAGCGAACCCGGTTCCCCAGATTACGAGTCTATCGCTCTTAACCACTACACCACACTGAGAGGTACCTATTTATCTACTTGAACTTTGACGTGCTTTTGAACTGCTAGATTGGCAGGAGCAGGGACCGAGCAACGGGAGCTCACCCCGTCGCGGGGATTCGAACTGCCAACCTTCTGATCGGCAAGTCTTAGGCTCTGTGGTTAAACCCACAGTGCCACCCGCGTCCCTTGATGTATTGATACATCTTCCAAAACCCGTTTGAAGACGACAGCACAGCAACGGTTTCATAACATTTGATGTGGCAATATGTATCACAAATCACGATGTGTATGTGTGCTATGTAAAAAAAAAATCACTATGTGGGAAAAACCGTGAAGCCCCTCGCTTCTCTCATGATTTCTGCCACACCATTGCTTGCTCTGCCACCTCAGCAATCCTCCGCTTCCTGTTTATTTTATGGTGTTTACATTGTTGCGTTCCCCCTAAATAGCTTAGAAAATGTGCTAACTTGAATATTATCTGTACTATAAAATAAGTTGTAACAGTATGTTAAAGATATGTAAAAAAAAATTTACAAGATGTTTTACACCCCTAAGTAACAGCAGTTGCTAGGACATTACCCCATTCACCTCTACAGAGTTTCATCCTTATTTCAGACATCATGATATATCTGTAATAGCTGGTGATATATCACAATGCTGAAAACCAGACATCACTGAGACCTATTTTTTGTGAGCATTTTCATATATCACAACCCTATAAAGTTAATTCTGTAACAATTTCATTATTATTATTATTACTATCATCATAGATTTTCCATGGGAACTCAACATAATTGTGCAAGTTGCATTCTCTGCCAGAGATAGTTATACTGAAGGCTTTGTAGCTACGTTCTCAAGCAATTTCAGCATACTCCATACATATCCCATCCTTTCTGTTAAGAAACTCCTGCACATCTGCCACTGAGATGCTGTGCTGCAGACGCAATGAGCATTACCATTTCACATTAGAATTCATTCAGGCCCACTGGGCTGTACAAACTTAGCATGCAACCAACATTGGTGTGGCTGCACATTTTGGGGCAAATGTGGGGACCCTTTAGCTCTCCAGATATTGCTGCACTACCACTCCCATCATCTTTGGCCTTTAGGCATGCTCACTGGTGTGAGTTATAGTTATAGTTCTGGAATACCAAAGCTTCCCCACATCTGCTATACAGTGGTACCTCAGGTTAAGTACTTAATTCGTTCTGGTGGTCCATACTTAACCTGAAACTGTTCTTAACCTGAAGAACCACTTTAGCTAATGGGGCCTCCAGCTGCCACCGCGCCGCCAGATATCGCGCCGCCAGAGCACGATATCTGTTCTCATCCTGAAGCAAAGTTCTTAAACTGAAGCACTGTTTCTGGGTTAGCGGAGTCTGTAACCTGAAGCATATGTAACCTGAGGTACCACTGTACAGTGGTACCTTGAGTTAAGAACTTAATTCGTTCCAGAGGTTCGTTCTTAATCTGAAACGGTTCTTAACCTGAGGTGCTCCTTCGCTAATGGGGCTCCTGCTGCCGCGATTTCCGTTCTTATCCTGGAGCAAAGTTCTTAACCTGGAGCAACCACTTCCTGGTTAGCGGAGTTTGTAACCCAAAGCGTCTGTAACCCGAGGTACCACTGTAGAGAGAAAGAGGAGGGCTTACTCAACTGTAGTGGCCAATTAGACAGACTAGTAATTTTGTTGGCTTTAAATAGTATGGCTTTAAACCTTGGGTTGTAAAGTTCAATCTTAAGAGGTGCCTGCCATGCTACAGGCAGTGTGTAAGTCCAGGCCTTTGCAGTACAACCTGGAACATGGTTGCTTTCATACACTAGTATCTTAAAAGTTCCTACTACATCTTAGGGCAGCCGTTCCCAACCTATGGGCCCTGGATCACCAGCAGGTCCACAAGTGTCAATCAGGTGGGCCCTTGGTATGCCCACGTTAAATATTCATATTGATGATTAACTGTTTTTTATTACTTTTTTATTTATCATATTGCCTTTCATTGAATTTCAATTTGACTTCTATGGGACTCGTGTTGTAATACAGTGAAGCACTAGGTAAGAAAAGAAGCAATAAATGTGCCATTAAAAAGTATACAGCATAGAGTGGAAGGGACCCTTAGGGTCATCTAGTCCAACCCCCTGCAATGCAGGAATCTCAACCAAAGCATCCATGGCAGATGACCGACCAGCCTCTGCTTAAAAACTGCAGAGGAGGAGAGCCCTCCATTTCCCGAGGGAGAAAGTTCTTCCTGATGTTTACACTTGCAGGGGATTACAATTGCTGCAACTGATGGGGAATTCATGAAAGGGTCGACTAAGGCCTCAGGCAGCAGTTCAGTTCTGCAGCCTTAAGAGCGGGGGCCGGATCCAGCCCAATCGCCTTCTGGTGTTTTCACATGAGTAGAATGTGTGCTTCTATTGAAAATGCACCTCTGGGTTACTTGTGGGGCAGAGGAATTCGCTCATTATTTCCCCCCCCCAAAATATAGTCCGGCCCCCCACAAGGTCTGAGGGACGCTGGACCGGCCCCCCGTTTCAGAGCCCCCAGCCCGAAGAGGAAGGCAGTTCGGCTTTTCTCCCCCCGCCCGCCTTTCTGCACTTCGCTTCCCCGCCCTCCACGTCCTTCTCTAGCGGAAGCCGCCCGGGAAGACCCCCGCCCTCCGCGCCCCGGCCCGGCCTGCGCATGTGCTGCCGGCGGGGAGAAGGCGCGGGACTCACGAACCGGGAGGAGGAAGAAGCTGAAGCAGCAGCAGAAGAAGCCGCCGCCGCCTCCGCCGCCCGCCGCCGCCCCCTCGGCCAACTGAAGCGCCCGTTCCTCCCGCGCGCCCGCCCCTCCGCAAACGGCAAACCGCCATTGGCTGATCGCGGGACGCTGGTGGCCAGCGGATTGGCGCAGAGGCGGGCTCGTGCGCGGGTCGGGGCCTCGCGCCCCCGGCCCCGCCCCCTCCGCCCCGGTCTTCTTCTTCGCCTCAGTTGCGATTCTGGCTGCGCAGGCGCCGCGCGGTCCGCCGAGTGTGCCAAAAGCGCTTTCCCCAGAGCTCTGTCCCAGCCCGACTCCGCTTCTCCCTATATTCGAGGCGGTATTAGGACATTTCTCCTTACCCTGCCTTTTCCTCCTGACAGGACTTAAAGCGGTTTACAACGGAAAAACGGCTAAAAACACGCGCGAGATAGAAAGGAAAATAGAAGGGATCGTTTAAAAAGGAACAGTAGAATTGAAACACGCACCCATTTGTCTGCCTATCTAATGTGTACAAATAGTTTACAATAAAGAATGAGGGGGGAAACTGATTCTATTTTTATGAAATAATAAAACACGTTTAAGGCACCCTTTTGTTTGCCTACTAAAAATATTCCCATTTAGAGAAGCCTATTTTAACGTAATTTATTGGCACAGATTGTTGTAAGAGGTGCTGGATTTTTGTTGCATATTTTGTTGTTTCTTCAGCTTGTAAACCTTGTGCATAGCGATATAGAAAGGCGATATGCAAATTCAAAAGTGAAATTAAACTTTGAAGACACAAAAATGTTAATCTAGTGGACATCAGGCAGATAACCAGATACCCAGCTGTGATCTTAAAATGCAATAAATACTGGGCCTCAGAGTCTCCAGCTCAAAGGTGGCTCCAATAGATGCCGAATGAACGGTAGCAAACACTGAATCTATTGCTATTATATATTATTCCAGCTCTATAACAATGGTTCTGCAATAAAAATACTGACGAGTCTCTTTTGTATCAACTTTAGTTTGGGGCATAATATGGTGAGAAATCAGGATACTGCATTTAAGTTCAGATTTAAGAAATAACCATAATTATGGGAGAAGCTATGCAATAACCTACATAGGTTCATGATACTGGATTTTGCCCCTGGAGATTATAGATTCCACAAACTTATACCATCGATCTTTTTCATATTTAAAACAAACCAATATACTTACAAGTTTTCTGTTGTTGATTCCACTATTACAAGAATTTTGCTCATTTCCTGCATTTTTATTGAAGGTGTATTTCATAGCCATCTTCAAATATCTAAAGGGCTGTCACATGGAAGAGGGAGCAAGCTTGCTTTCTCCTGCTCCAGAGGGTAGGACTTGTGCCAATGGCTTCAAGTTGCAAGAAAGGAGATTCCAGCTAAACATTAGTAATAACTTTCTGATGGGAAGAGCTGTTTGACCGTGGAACAGACTCCCACAAGAGGTGCTGGACTTTGCTTCCTTGGGGGTTTTTAAGGAGAAGTTGGATGGCCATCTGTCAGGGATGCTTTAGTTCCTACATTGCAAGCAGTTGGTCTAAATGACTTTTGGGTTCCCTTCCAACTCTACGATTCTACAATTCTGTGATTCATACCTTCCCCAGCTTGGTTTTCTTTTATGCTGGTTAGGACTGATGGGAGTTAGTTGTTGTCCAAAAAATCTAGAGGGCATCAGGTTGGGAATGCATTTGAAATACTGTAAGGAAAGGGAAGGCACTGTGGGAATTGGGAGCAGGGAAATGGGTGTGCAATTAACAAGTTAATTGCTATCCCATGGTGCTCCTCCATCTCTGCTGGTCTCACCAGAAGTGAGTTAATAATAATAATAATAATAATAATAACTTATTATTTATACCCCGCCCATCTGGCTGGGCCTCCCCAGCAACTCTGGGCGGCTTCTAAAAAAATATTAAAATACTGTAATACATCAAACATTAAAAGCTTCCCTAAACAGGGCTGCCTTCAGATGTCTTCTAAAAGTCTGGTAGTTGTTCTTCCAGGTGGAAAAATCAAAATTAGAAACAGAATTGTTAGAACCCAAAATTAAGAATTTGTCAAGAATGTATAACTTGCTGCTGAAATGGAATACTCAGGATGAAACGGTGAAATCTGCTATGATTAAATGGGCACAAGATGTTGGACATAATATTATGTTTGCTGACTGGGAACAGTTATGGACCACAGGTATGAAGTTTACGGCATGTAATGCCCTAAGAGAGAATATTATGAAAATGATATACAGGTGGTACATGACCCCAGTCAAGCTTGCAAAAATCTACCATTTGCCCGATAATAAATGTTGGAAATGTAAAGAAACTGAAGGTACATTTTTCCACCTTTGGTGGACGTGCCCAAAGATTAAGGCTTTCTGGGAGATGATATATAATGAATTAAAAAAGGTATTTAAATATACCTTCTTGAAGAAACCAGAGGCCTTTCTCCTGGGCATAGTCAACCAATCGGTGTTAAAAAAGGATAGAACTTTCTTTATGTATGCTACAACAGCAGCAAGAATACTCATCGCAAAGTATTGGAAGACACAAGAGCTACCCACACTGGAGGAATGGCAGATGAAAATGATGGACTACATGGAATTGGCGGAAATGACTGGCAGAATCCGTGACCAGGGAGAAGAGTCGGTGGAAGAAGATTGGAAGAAATTCAAAGATTATTTACAGAAACATTGCAAAATTAATGAATGTTAGAGTGATGTTGGATTGAAGTTAAGTGGCTTCTAGCTGTACAGGTTTTTAAGGTATAAATATATCAAGATTAAGGATTAGGATTAAAAAGTTTAAAAGAATGGAAAAATTGGCTTTAAATAGGTAAAAATCTAATGTTATAATATATTAAGATTAAGGATTGGGATTAAAAAGGAGGGAAAGAAATTGCTGGACTAACAAACTGAATTGGAATACAAAAGAGGGAGGTATGAGGAAGTCCGGGAAATAAGTAAATGTAAAAGAAGTTATGAAAAGACGGAATTGTTTTTAACTGTTTTTTTTCCCCTTTTTTTCTTTTTGTATTTTGTATTTTGTATTGCGTATTTTTCTTTTTTCTTTTTAAATTTTTCTTGTTTATTAATGTGATTCTATTTTTTCCTGAAACTTTAATAAATATTAATTAAAAAAAAAAAAAAGTCTGGTAGTTGTTGTTCTCTTTGACATCTGGTGGGAGGGTGTTCCACAGGGCGGGCACCACCACCGAAAAGGCCCTCTGCCTGGTTCCCTGTAGCTTTGCTTCTCGCAATGAGGGAACCGCCAGAAGGCCCTCAGCGTTGGACCTCAGTGTCCGGGTAGAACGATGGGGGTGGAGACGCTCCTTCAGATATACTGGACCGAGGCCGTTTAGGGCTTTAATTGTCAGCACCAACACTTTGAATTGTGCTCAGAAACATACTGGGAGCCAATGTAGGTCTTTCAAGACTGGTGTTATATGGTTTCGGCGGCTGCTCCCAGTCACCAGTCTGGCTACCGTGTTCTGGATTAGTTGTAGTTTCTTGGTCACCTTCAAAGGTAGCCCCACGTAGAGGGCATTGCAGTAGTCCAAGCGGGAGATAACTAGAGCATGCACCACTCTGGTGAGGCAGTCCACGGGCAGATAGGCTCTCAGCCTGCGTACCAGATGGAGCTGGTAAACAGCTGCCCTGGGTTCATGCTACCTCATTTGCACTTATCATGTCATTTGCTCCTTAAAATTTAATACACTACATAGTGTATTAAACATACGTAGTGCTGAAAACTGTTTTAAAGTTTATTTCAATAAAATTGGGGGGAAATGTTACTGAATTTGGTCTGTTGTTTATGAACAGAAAATCGGTCTCCCGCCTCCTCCCATATTACCCGTTCTGGGGAATACATTGTCTAACGTAGATTCTTGCTCCAACATAGAAAATTACCTCATTCCAGATAGTGGGTCCATTTATAGCTTGTATTGTCTACTGTAGCCAGAGAATGGAATGTCAAGGCCAAATAAAGAGGAGTGTGATTAATACACCGACATACATGCAGATCAGCTCACTCGCCACACAGCTGAATGTACTGCAAGGACAATTCTGTAGCCAGTTCTACCAATTCAGTCAATTTCAAGTGTGTATATAAAAATAATCTTTCAGGAAACACATCTATACAATTCAGGCTTATATATTTTAGCACAAAAGTCATTTAACATTTGAATTAAAAACAAGGTTTTAAAGTCTCGAAATCATTAAAAGAAAAAACCCACAGGCTCCCTATTTGGTGATGGACAAAAATGCAATTCACGAAATTCTTTTATACCAGGGGAGTAATTTCCTTCAAAAAGCCTAGATTTCTTACACTTTCTTCACTGATGTGGAATCAAATTCTTGTATACAGAACCTGTACTGTATTTATTACCTAACTGAATACATTAACCTCTCCTTAAAACTTCCTCCTGCCCCCTAACCAGCAGTGGTCAATCAATAATATTGAAAAGAAAGATTCCACAACCTATCTCTGAATTTAGACAGGTTCTAGTTAAGTTAAGAAGTTAAGGAAAAAACAGCAGTGTGAGAGGAAGTTTCTGGAACCGCTTATGGATGTTACTTTTTTTGGAGTCTCAGCCTGTTACTGGAGCAATTTCCTTGCCTCATTAGCTGCTGATTATTAGACCCTGAAATACATAGTTTTTGCTATTCTACTTCCAAGGAGAATGAAATTCTGTTCAGAAAATGGCCAACAGTTCAGGCCTTTGCAGACAGGCTGACAATGCATAACACACATTTGATTTATATTTAGTATTGAGTGACTAGTGCATACAACAAAAGGAGATGCTGCTTTTTAAAACACGGGTTTGCAGTTTTATTTTTTTTGCAAGATTACATCCTTTAAAAGAAGTAATTCACTTAGATTCCAAATACTGAGATTAAATACAAATAAAAGCTGTAGCTTTTTTAAAGTGAAGCTATTGCCTATTGACCCTGAAATAAAATAGTCTTATGATTGAACAGGTGCAAAAATCCCTCCATAACCTCTATTTTTATTGGCAAAGTCATTTAAGGTCACTTTTGCTTCCAAGACCATCTTCTTTCATGATTTCCATTGAAGGAGTTTTGCTTTGTAATGGCTTGTGGTTCCACAGTGTTTTGTAAATGAAGACTGCTATGAAAACACTATCGCTGTTGCTGTAGTTGCAGACACTGCCACAA